TTCCTGATATTAACCATCGTTTTCTCTATGGTATAGCAATCGAATCATATCGGGACAAGTAACCGAGCATCCCTCTACATTATGATATTATTTTATGGAACTGATATTTTATTAGATACGTATCCTAAATAGACTTTTCTGTGCTTTTTACTAATTGTTGCTGTGATCACAGTGAGGATGCTACTTGATAGTGGATGCTTGGGTGGGTTTTTAACTGAAATAAAATTGTAATGGTGATTCTATAAAGAAAGTACGAATTAGAATGATCATCTTCTACTATATATACTAAATTACTTATAATTATTTTTTCGTTCATAATTGAAAGATGTTATTTGTCCCTAATTAGCTTTTTTTTTTTTTTGTGTGTGGGAGATTTGGCCTTCCCATATTTTTCGCGGAGTTTCCGAGCAATCGAATGGATGGAAAATTGTTGTGAGCTATATACATGGCATTTCAATATGTTAGACGAAAGAGTTAACTATCTTTTATCCGGTATGTTGAATGAAGTTATTGAGGTTCGAGTTAACTATCTTTTATCCGATTCGCTTCATTCATTATCATACTTCTTTCTATATGTCACTCGAATAACTATTAATGAAAAAGTCTACTATTGTCAAATTGGTAATCGAAAGTAAGTTCTTTTCTTATGTTTCTCTTTCCAAGGCTTCAATAAGCAAATTCCTCATGTGCATTTTATTTTACGTAATCTTTTTTATTTACTTACTTGATTATCTACATTCTTTTGTAATAAGATTCGGACAAGTAGAAAATGCCTCAATAAGATCACAAGATTGCCACTATAGTGAGAAATCAATATGATTTACTGTCTTATATAAAATATAATTTTATTTATTTATTTTTAAAAATTATTTTATATTGATTTGTGCTATTATATTATATTATATATTTATTTATTATATATTTGAATCATATAAGATTTTCTGTAAGATTATATATAACCATATATTTATGTTTTAATTTATTTTTTAATTAATTTAAATAAAATAATATATTTACTTAAAAATAAATATGTTAGAAGGGTAAATTTGTCACAAATGATTTGCAAGTAGATTCCTGGAAGCATACACATTTCAGATACACACACAACTAAATGTATAAGCACTAACAAATTGTAATTACATTGTTCAAATGAAAACACTAAATTACATGTTAAGCAGCACGCCGAAGCATGCTGCTGTGATTGAAAGCAGGAGACAGACAGACATGAGCTTTTTCGTTGTATCAGTGGACTGAGCACCTGCTGTGATTGAAAACAGGAGACAAGACAGACAAAATCTAAGGACTAAACACACGTCCCACAAATATGATACGCATCGAACAAACGTATCAAGTTTTGAAGAACCATATGTGATTTGACGTGGGAACAAGAGGCGGATTCCACGATCTAAGTGACATGGATGATGCAATAACAACAGGGATTGATTACCTTGTGCGTAAAATTATTTTCTCTAGATTGCTCTAACTGAAACGAATGAAGAGTTTGTGCATCTGGGTCGGCGGATGCATTTCTTAATCCCATTCATTTCGAACCTCCGGGCATAAGAATGGCTGTGCGTTCACCATCTGAAGAGGTCATCATCAGCATACCATCCGATGACCAAGAAGAACTAGTTGTCGTGATGCCATCCGCCGATCCAGATGCACAAACTATCATCCGGATGATGACTCCTACACCATCTGAAGAGGTCATCGTCAGCATGGAAGAACTAGTTGCCGTGATCCCATCCGCCGACCCAGACGCACAAACTCTTCATTCGTTTCAGTTAGAGCAATCTAGAGAAAATAATTTTACGCACAAGGTAATCAATCCCTGTTGTTATTGCATCATCCATGTCACTTAAATCGTGGAATCCGCCTCTTGTTCCCACGTCAAATCACATATGGTTCTTCAAAACTTGATACTTTTGTTCGATGCATATCGTGTTTGTGGGACGTGTGTTTAGTCCTTAGATTTTGTCAGATTTATTGCACTTCAGGTGCTCAGTCCACTGATACAACGAAAAAGCGAGTGTCTGTCTGTCTCCTGCTTTCAATCACAGCAGCATGCTTCGGCGTGCTGCTTAACATGTAATTTAGTGTTTTCATTTGAACAATGTAATTACGATTTGCTACTGCTTATACATTTAGTTATGCGTATGCCTTCGCATAATAGTTATGTGTATCTGAAATGTGTATGCCTTCATAAATCTAAATGCAAATCATTTGTTTGGCCTATACATATTAGTTATGTTACTACACAAGTAATTATGAGACTAGTTATTTCTATTATATGGACGGATATATCGTACATCGGTCTATTCGATTATTTTGATTTCTTTCTCGAGTAACCTATGACCAGAAATGATTCGTGTTAAAAAATGAATTAGTCTCATTATCATAATCTCACAATGATCCAATTCACATTGCACAGATTCAAAAACATCACAATATATTCATCATATAATATAAAGTAAAAAAATATCATTATTAATATTAACTAAAAGAGATTATCCAATAGATTACACATATCATTACTCACGTGATTAGCTTACGGAACACCTATAACTACCATGTATTACACGATTTTGTCATTTTAGACTCGTGTGAGCCATCTTTTATCACCTCTGTTTCTCGTGGTTGCACTTAACTGGATCCAATCCCACGATGGATCCAAGCCCATTCAGAGAGTTCCACGTAGTAGTCAATTAAACCATGATGTTTACTATGTGGTATTCTCTTCGTCGCTGCGCATCTCAGATGGAAATAATGCTCTCTCTAATGTTGGCTTGCGTCCAACCCATTAATATTATCATTTGGGTAGTAAAGATACCGAGGCTATCCAAGTATTAGCAGCTAATCAATCAGTGGTTCTTTCTCTATGTAAGCATGATTTAAACTCTTAACTCTTATAATTCTTTATATCCTTTTCTTGTGGTCCTCATCCATAAGATTATTGCTTTGGCATCACCTAATGCATATGGAGTTCAGGTTCAATAATGCATATGAAAAGTTTTAATAGAAGAGAAAGATGTTACTATAAAACCAAAAACAAATAACTTCTATTACTTTCAAATCAAAAAGTGTCAACTACGAGGGACTAAGAGTGTGAAAAGACTCAACTAAGTGCATAAGAAATTATGTTGTGTCGAAACTTGGGTGCTCTCGGTAGGATGGTCTCAATCTCTTCCTTCCTCCTTGCTGTTGAAATCACCTTCTGAGATTTGGGCAGTGAATAGATAGATTTTGAACTTCTCACACTAGCTAGAGGAAGCTTTAAAGTAAGGCTTTGGTTGTTGGAATTTAGGAAGGAAGGGGCTCCAGTTGGAAGGAACTCGGCAGCACGTCTTCTTCTTTAATCTCTCAACCAGAGTTTGGGCTCTAGGCCGGCTATAATTTTTTGTTGGCTCTTTGCTCTAATGCAATGCAGTAGGCTAGGGAAACAGAAGAAGAAGAAGAAGAAGAAGAAGAAGAAGAAGAAGAAGAAGAAGAAGAGTAAAAGTTGATTTGGGTTGATCAAATTGAGCTTTGAAGCTTGATTGATGACTTGGCTTGAGTTTGTTATTGATAAAATTGTTGAAGTTGGGTGAGCTTTGGAGCTAGATTGAGTGTCATTGAGCTATGCAACCTAGTTCAATTCCCTTTCTTGCTTGATTTGAACCCTACAATTGACTGAACCAAGTCGATTGATCGATTCAAGATGACTTAAACTAATTTGATTTATTCAGGTTTGTTTGACCTAAATGGAATACAATATAATTCAATTTAGACTAGTATGATTTCAAATGTTAGAGATCAGTTCAATTAGGTTCTAGCTAAATTAAGTTAGACTCAAGTTAATTAGACTGATCTAGTTAGGGTTTAAGCGCTAATTAATATATGTTCATTGATGATACTTGAAGAGTAATTAATTTGAGATGTTTTGATTGATGATATTATTTCATCTTGAAATAGATATAATATGTTATTTTGTAAGATGGTTATGTTTCAGAAAGTATAATGATTCTTTTCAAAGATTAGTGAATCATTATACGTGATGACTAGATGGTTGGTTCCTTCATGTTGGGAGTACAATATTAATTTTCTCCATCCGCAGAAGAATGTAAAGCTTATCCCATATGATAAAGTCTTTCATTCATTGTTGGGAGAGTACTTCGGATATTTGGCATCCATATGTGAGGTGACTATTGATTTGATTGTTGATTTTATTAATGAATATATATATATTTTTTTTTAGGGTTTTATACAAGCTCCGAATCAATATATTCTTGAATTATTTTGTTTTGTCTTTGATTCTTAGAATAGCCTCTCGATAGCTCTAAACAAGATTTTGTGAAGAACAAATTTTCCTCCACTAGAACAGCTAGTCTATGACATCACTCATGTTAGCGAATGAAGTCAGATGGATATTTATTTGATTTTTCTTTTGAGTAATAGATGAGTTGTAATAAATCATTAGAATTTATGTTTTTAATAAAGTAATGTAGTCTATGGAAAGGTGTTACAATCACATAATGTGTGTGACAGTAGATGAAGCTCGAGCTGTTTTGGAATAAAAATAAAAATAAAAATAAAATAACTCCGGTCGACCAAAGTAGATTGCTCTGATATTTTTTATTTTCTGTGCTTTTTGTAGAATGTGGTTTTGGTGCTTTAACATAAACATTTGGGTGTTTAGTCGGACATGTTACCCATGCAATGGTATGTCATTAGAGACTTTTGTTTCGAATGGTATGAGATGTACCGAAGATGCATGCACATATATAAGATATATTTTCTAATAAAAATAATCTACTAGAAATTTATCCAAAAAAAAATGTAAATATAAATGCAACATAGGCCCAATTTTTAATCATGAAAGTAAAATCTTTTATTGTTGGATACAATATCAAGCAATCCTCGTCGTGCAGACTACTGCTCACAAAGTGAACCCAAAAGGAGACGAGTCTCCTTTGATCTTTTCCCTCTCCATTAGTCTGCACCCGCGGAAGCATGCCAAGTTCTCAGCCGCAGTCGTTGCAGGAGCAGCTGACCGGCTTCAAAGAACATAAGCGGCCGGGCTCCTGGCAGATCATTTCGTGACAACAGCTCATCGTCTTGCACTTGCTCGGGTCTCTGGTAGAACAACATCGGCAATCCTTGCACAGTTGAATAAGAAACTCGTGGCCATGGAGGGTGTTGATCACGTCGTCGAGAGGTCGGTGTTCGACGGAGGAAACAGGTATGTAGTCATCATCGTTGGAGTGTGTTCCTATCTCTGATGCTCCTGCATGCATGCAAGCATCAAGAAACAAGTCAGTGTAAAAGCTATGGCTATATCATATCGGAAGACGAAGGATGACCTCTATAGGGAATAACAGAGAGCAGGAGACCAAGCATCAGAAAGAGGCTGGCGTTGTTGCCCATCGGAATAGGAAACTATGGCGAGAGAGAGGAAGGGAGCTCTTCTTCGTCTTGCTTACAACAGAATGTTTGTGACAGAACAATCTTAGATGGCCATATGCGATAGGTATCAAGACCTTATAAAGATGATCTCTACCTTGGTCATGCAGCATCTCAAAAGATCTGCTATAAAAGATTAATGTTTCATTTAAATAAGGTACATTGTATATATAAATAGGGAGAGATTTCTATCAATCATATGCATGTATCATAATAATTTATCCTGGCTTAATTAAGGATCGTGACATATTAGGAATGCAAGATTATCCTAATCCTCTATTATGTCCCTACAATATTAAACTGTCATCATGTATGTCAATCTTGGAATGATATTAATGGAATACTTTATAAGCAAGTGATTTTGTAGGGGAGTTACCTAATTGGTCCAAAGTGTGAACATGAGATATATGTTAACTATTTGATCTATGACAAAGTGAAAGCGATGATAATATATTTCATACGAGAGTGGAATATTAGATTGAAATATTATAGGTAATACCAATTTTATCACATTATATTGTTGGAGTGGATCGAGAGCTGACTATAAGTTTGTGAAGTAAGTTGGTGATATGGTTGAGCTCCGCAATAGCAGTGGCGATGACTCGATACTCAACTTTCGTGATAGATGTTATAGCTATATGTTATTTCTTGAAACTCCAATTAAACAGGTTTGCTCTAAGAAAGATTATATAAGATGATGTGGATATTCTATTATCAATATTATCGACTCAAGTAGCATCAACGAAGATGAAATGATGAGTATTTACGAAGAAAAAATTTGTGATGGAAAGGATTTTGTGACTATGTATGAGTGCATGAATTCTTTTTGTAAAAATTTGAAAAAGTTAGAAAAAAAAGAAAAGGACGTAGAACTAAATAATTCAGAAAAATATTCAAAAAACCTAAAATAAAAAATGGAATATATTAATATGGATCCATTGAAAAGTTATACTCAAAATTTTAGAATATGATGCACTATTTTTAGAATTTGGTCAAAAATATTGCATTGTATATAAGAAAATATTCCAAATCAATCATGATTAGTTCCTTTATTTCAGCACAAATTGGAGAATTCTAGTGACTAAACATGAATGAGTTTAATGGTTTGCCATAAGTTTGATGCAAAATTTCTTATAATTATTCTTCACATAATTTTTTGGTTGTACCAATCTTATAGCAAGAGTTAATGTAGTACACTCATCAGGCTCATATAAGTGAATCATACACATTGTCCACTTCTAATGTGGGACTAATTGGATGTTATATATATATATATATATAATTTTTTTAAGTTTTTTTGATCTAAATTAAATCCAATCTAATTTAAATTAGATTAATTTAACGTGGTTCTAAGGGTTAGAGGAGAATTCAGGTAGATTCTAGTTAAATCAAGTTAGGCTTAAGTTAATTAGATTGACTTAGTTGGGATTTAAGTTGATAATATATGTTCATGGATGTTGCTTAAAGGGTAATTAATTCGAGATGTTTTGATTGATAATATTATTTTATCCTGAAATAAACATGATTTATTATTTTATGAGATTATTATTTTTTATCTGAAAGGTATATAGGATGATTCTACTCAAAGATTAACGAGTCATTAGATATGATGAATAGATAGTTCCTCCGGAAGGAATGCGTCTCTATATTGATATATGCAAGATGCCACTTCATTTGCTGCAGAAGTATAATATGAGTTTTTTTTCATCTGTTATTAAGAGAACATAAAGCTCATCCTCCACTTTAGTGGTAGAGCATTCCAACGGATGTTTGACATATGCTAGTAGGATAACTATTGATTTGATTATTGACTTCTAATGTTTATTTTCTTATATATTTTAGAATTTTATATGAGCTCTTATACTAATCTAGTTCTTAAATAACTATAAACCATATTTTAATGGAAAATAGATATTCCTAACAACTAGCCTATCACATCACTCATGCTAGCTAATAAAGTCAATGTATATTTATTTGATTTTTGTTTTGAGTAATATATGAGTTTTATTAAACTTTTAGAATTTCTATCTTTAATAAAAATATTACATAATGTGTGTGACGAAGCTCGAGCCGTGTTGATAATAATAATAATAATAATAATAATAATAATAATAATAATAATAATAATAATAATAATAATAATAATAATAACTCTAGCCGACCAAAGTCGATTTCTCTAATGTTTTTTTATATTATTTTTTATGTTTTTTTTGTAGGATGTGGTTTCGGTGCTTGAACAGATGCATGCACTTATAATAAGATCGATATATTTTCTAACAAAAAAAATATACTAGAAATTTATCAAAAAAATTATAAATATAAATGCAACATAGGCCCAATCTTTAATCATGAAAGTAACACTACCACTCTTTAAGAAAGTCTTTTATTGTTGGATACATATCATCCAATCCTCGCCATGCAGACTACTGCTCACAAAGTGAACCCAAAAGAAGAAAAGTCTCCTTTCATCTTGTCCCATCTCCACTAGTCTGCACCCACGGAAGCAATGCCAAGTTCTCTCAGCTGCAGTTGTTGCAGTCGCAACGGATCGGCTTCAAAGAACATAAGCGGCCGGGCTCGAGGCAGACCATTACTTGACAACAACTCATCGTCTGGCAGTTGTTCGGGTCTTTGGCAGAACAACATCGACAATCGCTGCACTGTCTAACATCAGACTCGTGGCCGTGTAAGTTGTTGATCACGTCGTCGAGAGGTCGGTGTTCGACGGAAGAAACAGGTATGTAGTCGTCATGATTGGAGTGTGTTCCTGTCTCTGATGCTCCTGCATGCAAGCGTCGAGAAACGAGTCAGTGTAAAAGCTATAGCTGTATCATATCAGAAGATGAAGGATGACCTCTGTAGGGAATAACGGAGAGCAGGAGACCAAGCATCAGAAAGAGGCTGGCGTTGTTGCCCATGGCAATAGGAAACTATGGCGAGCGAGAGAGAGGGAGGAAGCTCTTCTTTGTCTTGCTTAGAAGAGAATGTTTGTGACAGAATAATCGTTTGTAATCACGCGATCGCTTCTTTCCCTGCAATGGGTATTTGAATATAGATGGCCGTATGTGATGGGTATCAAGGCCTTATAAAGATCATCTCCACCTTGGTCATGCAGCGTCTGGAATTATTTGCCATAATAGATTAATGTTTCATTTTTACGAGGTACAAAGTATATATAAACGTTTGAGGAAGGATAGATTGCCCTCAATCGTGTGTGCATGTATCATAATAATTGAGCCTAGGCTTAATTAAGGATCTTGACATAATAGGAATACAAGATTATGCTAATCTTCTATAATGTGTTTATAAGCTTAAGCTTCAGTCGTAGATGTTAATCTTGGAAATCATATTTGTGAAATACTTTATGAGTAAATGGCTTTGTAAGGGAATTAGTTAATTGGTTAGAAATATGAATATGAGATACACGGAGTTGGAGTCTATCTATTTGATCTTCGACAAAGTAGAAGTCGATGATAATATATTTCATGCGAGAGTTGAATATTAGATTGGAGCATCATAGGTTATATCAATATTATCACATTATATTGTTGAAGTGGATCGAGAGTCGATTCTAAGTTTGTGAAGCAAGTTGGTGATCTAATTGAGTTCTATAATAGTGGTGGTAATAATTTGATACTCAGCTTTCATAATAGATGTTATGACTATATGTTGGGTTTGCTCTGAGAAAGATAATGTAGAACAATATGAATATTCTATTATCGATATTACCAACTTAAGAAGCAAGCATAATGAAAGCATGAAGATGAAAGGATGAATATTTACGAATAAAAAGCTCATGATTGAAGGGGTGTTGTGACTATGCATGAGTGCATGAATTTTTTTATAGAAATTTGAATATTTTAGAAAAAAAGAAAATGACATAGTGTGCAAGAACTAAATAATTCAAAAAAATATAAAAAATTTCGAAAATAAAAAAAAAAGAATATATCAATGTGGATCCAATAGAAAGGTATCCTCAAAATTTTAGAATATTTTGATAAGTTCTACTATAGGATGCATTATTTTGAGACTTTGGCCAAAAATAGTGCATTGCATATAATAAAATATTTTTTGACAACTAAATGTTTACCGAGTGTTTGTGACCTAATTAGAAGCTCAAATGTTAAAAATATTATATTAGTGCATGATTTTTTATAATTTTTTTTTAAAAAAAGGAAAAATGGCATACTATGCAAGAACATAATAATTCAGAAAAAATTTGAAAAAAAATTATGAAAATGAAAAATATTGTAATATGTCCATGTGGATCTAATGCATAGGTATCCTTAAAATTTTAGGGTATTTTGACAAGTCCTATTATGTAATGCACTTCACATATAAGAAAATATTTTTGTGGGTCAAATTTTTATGAAGTGTTTGTGACTTACTTAGAAACTCAAATGTCAAAAAAAATACTGTATGAGTGTCGGAATTTTTGGTGAAATTTTAAAATAGTTAGGCAAGAAAGAAAATGACATGTCCATGTGGATAATTCAGAAAATTCTGGATATGTCCATGTGGATCCAATACAATGATATTTCCAAAGTTTCAAAATATTTTGGCAAGTGCTGCTATGCGATGCACTATTTTTAGATTTTAGCCAAAAATAGTACATCAAGTATAAAGAAATATATATTTTTATGGTCAAATTTTTACCAAGTGTTTGAGACCTAATTATAAGATTAACTATTAAAAAATACTGCATGAGTGCATGCATTTTTTATAATTTTTTAAAAAATTTGAATGAAAAATAAAAAATAACACACTATGCAGGAATTGAATAATTCAGAAAAAATGTCAAAAAAGATTTAAAATAATAAAATATTAGAATATGTTCATATGGATCCAAATCAAAGATATCTTCTAAATTTCATGATATTTTTAAGTTTTACTATGTAATGTATTATTGATGGGGATCAGAGGACTACGACACCATTACGATAGTTCAAGAGAATGCAGAAAACTTTAGATCGCTACATCGGAGCCATATGAGACTAAATGCCTATAGAAGGCTTATACTATGTATATTTTATTTTCTTATTAAATTACAATAGAATTTGGGCATAAGACGTATTTGTATTGGGCTTTGAGCTAAAGAAAGATGTCATACACATATTTTAAAGTACACATGCCAAATGGACACCCGTCTTCTTCCTATGAATCCCTAATCTCTTATTTCTTATAAAGGGATATATAGTATTTATGTAAGGTGGACACTTGTCCTTCTCATGTAAATCCCTAATCACTTATCCTTTAGAAGAAGGTATGTCTTACTCATCTAAGAGACACCCATTTTTATAAAAATATTATAACAAAATATAATATAATAAAATATCATTAAAATTGATATTATCTGAATTGAAAGAATTATTTAAATATTCAAATTTCAATATGATTTGGGCACCTACTTTTGTTTTTAAACTTATTCCAAATTTGATTTAAGTGTATCTAAATCTAAGTTGAATTTGGTTAGAAATAACCCAATATAAAAAAAAGAAATGATATTGAGATAAATGAGATATGATTTATATTCTTAACATCCACGCTAACGTATCGATTGCATGCCTAAACCCAATACGTACAATCTGAATCCAATTGATGGATTTTTTTAATAAGTGAATAAGTTTTAGGATTTAAACATGTAATCTTTTACTTTCACATCATCTTAAAATTTTAATTAATATATTATACTTAAAAAATAATATTCTTAACATAGTTTTTAACATCGATAGTATTAAACATAAAAATACACCGTTAACTCCGGATTAGAGGAGAGATACATCGTTACTAACTTATGCATTATAGGGATTGGCTCGGGAAGCTCTTTTCAACCACAGTCTTTGTATAGGAAATGAGTTCAGAGAAACTGCACTCTATTTTGGACGACTCCTCACATGCGGATCAGGGCATATTGTGCTCAGGAAGATATCAACAATATTTTTTCCTTAATATTTTAGTGCTAAAAGGAGGGTCTGATATTGTAGAAACATTCGCAGATTGACCATGCCCATGAACATTCGAGTGAGGCTCTGTTTCTAACCTATGATACTTTCAAATAGGTCAATAGTTGCCATTTCCCCATATAGATACATCTACCTCGTTGTAAGTACCAATGCAGTATTGGTGTTCATTCAATGAAGCTAGACCCTCATTTTCAGGAGTGCTATTGATCCATCTACTCGTTCCTATCGAGGCATTCTTGAATCTTACCCAGCAAATGCAAGCATTAGCCGACATAATACAACATATTACCCCGCTTCTATCTTGGTCAAACCAGCAGGTGATGCCACTGCCTCAGCCACCATCGATAGTTCAGCAACCTTTTGCATCGACGTTCGTTGGGGTCTTCTTGCTCAATGAATTGTTAACATCTCATAGGTATCCAAGATCTATTGAGCCACCAACCGAGAGAGCACCCTGCTCCCCAATCATAGAGTTTAATAGGCTATCCCACCACTGCTCCACTCCGCTTGAATCCGAGACTCACTCAATCGATTCAATAAACAACTCCGTTAGATTTTCAAGAATACTCCTAAGACTATTTCATATGGGAGGTAGCTCGACAGTTTGGTAATTGACCCGAGCTATCTTTTAGACTCTTATCTGTGGGTAGGAGGGTGTTGGGCTTCTTGGGCTTTTATCTTCTTACGTGAAAGTGATAGCTAACTAATTGTATATACCCTATTAGATATTTACTTTTCTTTTTAAACTTATTTCAAATTTGATTTAAGTGTTTGAGTTGAATCAGGTTAGAAAAAAATGATATTAAAATAAATTAGATATTTATATTCTTAACATGCTTGCTCACGTATGGATTACATGCTTAAACCCAACACGTACAATTTGACTTCAATTGATTGATTTTTTTTTTTGAATAAGTGATCAAGTTTGAGGATTTAAACATCCAATCTTTTACTCTCACATCATCTTAAAATTTTAATTAATATAATTATACTTAAAAATTATATTATTAACACAGTTTTTAACATCAACAGTATTCAAATGATCCATGACTATTACAAGTGGATAAAAAAGGAACAAAAAATTGATCATTTTTGGGTTATATAACTTATTTAGTCATTGATCAGTACTTTAGATTCATAGAAGGCTCATTTATTAGACCTGATTGAACTCAACCCTTACTGTGCTTATGTAGCAACTGAGGGAGAAATCGATCAACCGAATCTCGTATCTAACTTCGTGATCGGGTGCGGATGGCTCGAGTCGTGTTTTCGTCAACGGATCAAATACGTCGCAAGAAAAGATGACGTGGATGAAGTCACGCGGCGTATACGATTCGGTGCACCTATGGACCCCGCCGAGTCATCGTCACGAAGAGCGGAACGAGGTAGCGCCAGGGCCGATTAATCGCGCGCGGGGAATCTCGCCGCTGGCGCACGTGCGCCGGAACCGACGCCAGCCAGTGCCGTCCGACGTCTCTCCAGCCTCGTCCCTTTCCTTCCTGTATCAACCACCGGAAGGGAGTCGATTTATTCCAGTGTGTGCAAGGAGGAGGGCTTTTGTTGAGGGCTTCGGTGGTTCCTGACGGAGGAGGAGAAGCTCTGGGTGCAAGGAGAGAAGAAAGTATAGGCATCGTTCGAATCAGATAGCGTGAGAAGACGGATTTCTTGGGAATTCACGAGAGGGATTTGGACCCGCAGACGTCGGAGGAGGACACCGGTGGGAGCCGCCAAGATTCAGGGATCAGGTTTGCTCAAGCTTTCAATCCATCAAACTTTTCTTTAGTTTTAATTGTAATTTATTTTCTATAATTAAACAAATCATTTTTCTTTACTATTTGAGGTTTGATTTTCGACTCTCGGCTAAAGGTGTGATTTTGAATGATTTGATCGACTTAGGTTGCTAAAATTATTGGACTATATGAGATAAAAGGTTGGTCTTATATTTTCTTGAAGCAAATCTTGTGAGCTGTGGATCTGGCAACTGGTACGAAGACCGAGTACGGAAAACACGACGCTTTTATGGTGGTGTGGCATTTTATTCCTTCTTTTTTCTAAAGATTGAAACGGTAGGAGATTTGATTGGCTTCAGCAACGGCATTAATTCTAGTTTCTAATGCTGAGTGACTTACTCTCTTGATGGGTTTAGTTCGTTTCTTTGGAAAAAGATATGATTTTTGTGTTTTTGGTGCTCTAACAGCTGAATTTTTCAGTAAAATGTTGGAAGCCAGAGGCTCAAATTTGTAATGGATGCTATCTTTGAAAGATTCTTGTCTTTAACTTCTTGCTGCTCTTATTACGTTTGCTCGACTGTTGGTTGAGAGTATGCGTTTCATGTTTCTGTATTGGAAAGGAAAACGGGGGCACTTGGAATTTGAGTCCATCAGACCCATCGTATTGTAAATTTTTGAGGTGGTTTTTATTGTGATATATGTCAGTGGTGAGTCGATTTGTATAGCTTTTGAGAATAATCAATAGTCAAATTAATGGAAGATGCTTCTGATCTAATTCCAAATCTGCTTTTGCATTTGTTTCTAACTCTCAGCTATGTAAGGAGCTTCAACAGTGCAATGGCCTTTCTTGAACAAGATGTCTACCATGCAGCCATTCATGTTCTACAAGGATGCACAAGAGGAGAAGTCAAGAAACTATGTCTCTGATGAACACTCATCTTCGAGATTCCAACCTGTATCAGCCATTGATGCCTTTGAGGCCAATCAGGTACGTGTGCATCGATTTTCCAACTGGTTTTAGACATAATCATTCATCACACTGGTCATTTTGCTCACCAAACTGGCATGTTGCTGTGTCTTGATCTTGTAGAAATGCTTCAGTTTCGACATATGGCGAAGGATGAACCAATATCCATTCCATGCATATCAGCCTCACAACACTGGTTTTGTTGATTCTTCACAGCACAAGTTAAATCACTTTAGTCCTGTCAACATGAGCAGTCCTTTGTTCAAGACTGTGGGTGCTCTAAATGGCCCTAATATAGCAGTCATCTCTGCCAAGCAGCAGCCTTTCGGATGTGGCACCACCATTAGCACCCCTGTTGGTGGCCCTGTGCTTGGAGCTTTTAATCCAAGGTAAGATATTTTCTGATAAGTTTCAGGAGAAAGCCTTCAACTCTTTTCTTCAGACACTATACATTCCATCTTGTTGACAATATGGCATGATGTATTCGTTTATCCAGCAATATGGCCAACACTACCGCCAATATGACTGCTCAGCTAACTATTTTCTGTGGGAACTGCATAAATGTGTATGATGACATTCCATTGGATATGGTATTCCAATTTTGATGTGAATACCATGGTTGTGAAGCAATTTTGTTGATTAATTTTCTTTTCACGCTCAGGCAATTATGTTATTGGTGAGTAAGGGATCTACAGTGACTTGAAATGCTATGAATTCGAGATCTGAAGCACCCTTACTAGCTGCAGCCTCAGTCCCATCTGAAGTAGTAGAATCAGATGGTTTAACTACGAATATGACTTTGAGCTCTAACGGGAATCATGTGGTATCACCCTGCCCATATCCCTCATGCTCGACATCAGTTATGTCATATACCGTGGCTAGCTCAAGTAGTGGTGATAGCACCTATGATGACACAATGGGGACTAAAGCTGTCGGTTCCAAGAAATTTCCAAAAAATCAACTTCAGTTTTAGGATTAGAAATTGTAGCAATTGACATGCCAAGAGGTAATTAGCTCTAAGGTTTGATGAATTGGCAAACTTTGTTTCTCCAAAATAATGAGGATTTTAATTGTATCTCATATACAGTCTTTGTTTTTGTGTCTACTAAATTTTTGATAACTTTTTTATCAGGTTAAATAGCCCAGGTAAATAAATAGATTGGTGATTTATATATGCATCTGTACCTCAAGCTCAGAAGGCATCACTATCACGATTCCTGGAAAAGCGCAAGGAGAGGTGCGATTGTTCTGTTTGTGTGCATTCGATTAACTACATCCACTGCTTATCTCCACTACTTATCTCTTACCTTCTCTACTTAATTAGATCCTTTCGATACAAGACCATGAGCATTAAGGACCATTCTTAGTTTCTTTAATGAATTTATTTTCAAGTGTATGACAAAATACATTGTTCTTGTTTATATTAATATTTCTTCCATTCACCTTGTCAAGAGAGGTGCTTTGCTCAGATTATCTGAGTTGTTCATTTTCAGGATGACCAATACCATTCCCTATGCTTGTTCCAAGAAAATTCCTGAAAACAGTAGTAGATTCTGAAGTTGCAATGTGTCAAGCAAAATTTCATTGGCTGATATCAATCTTTCGAGGAGAGGACTTATGGTTTGTGGCACACCAAAAGAGCAGCATGGACAGTGGGGAGTCCCTAAGTATTAAGCTAGCATAATTGAGTTTGCATTTGAATCAGGCCTGTAATGTATGATTAAATTATTTGTTCATTTCAGTGATAAAATATCAGATAAGAGATATCATAATGTACTCCGTAGTAGAGAGTCTTATAGGGATCTCTGATTACTTGTCCCAATATGATTCAAGTGCTATATCATAGAGAAAAAGATGGTTATATCAGGAATTAGATTATGTTAGTCCCTTTGGTCCTCTGATCTTGATGAAAAAGAATTACCTTTTCAGCACCCTTACTGTTTAGAAGATTACTGAAAATTGTTGCAGATTCTGATGATGCATTGATACCAGGCACTTAAGCTTGCATTATATATGTAAATAATACATACATGGCATATTTAGATTCAAGTAAATTGGCACATCTGCAGTTCTGCACATCCCATGCTTGATTTTCTATGCCAGGTTTAATGTGTTTGCCATTATTTTCTCCACCAGTGAATATTTTCAAACACTTTGGTTATGGAAATGCTTAATGTTTATGTTGGTATCATATCGATATGTCTGAGTGGATTCTTGATCTACTTGGAAATCAACTCTCTTTTTTGGATGACCATGAACTCGGATTGGATCATACATCTAAAATTATTGTTGGACTAGTGTTCTTATTAGAAAAGTTTGGAGTGATATGACCAAAAGAGACTGGACAATTGGATTCAAAGCAATATTTGTGTGCCCTGATAAGTTAAATTGTTATTACAACATAACTCCTGTCTAAACATATTACATATTGGTATTACAATTGGACAGTTGTGTGTCAAGTCCTCTGGCACATAACATAGTATGCTATATTATTTGTTCTTGAAATTAATCCTTGACAAATGAGTAAAATGAAGTCTCCTTGTGGTTTGTGGAAATTGATCATTGAATTTACTTGATCAACTAGGCCAAGTAGTTCTCTCTTTCATCAATCAGATTTAGACTATGAAACTTTGGAATTAAGCTGCTGTCAACTGGACATTTGATACAAACTAGATGGAGAAAAAATATATAGCAAAGTAGATTGACAATGATTGGTTCTTCTTATGCATTTCTCTTGATATTTTGATACTTGTCATCTTTCTTACTTTCTAAAAGATATCATTTTAGTTAGGACCTACAATTACAATTTCAAGATTCCTATAAATGGAAATCCATATGACTTGAAGATTTTATCTTTATTTATCAAGAAAACACAAAAACAAATTACATAGTTTGCGATTAGTTATACTTTCTCAATCTATACCAACTTTGTAGCTTCTCTAGCTTATATATTATTCATAAAGTTTTATTACATTGAAAGTGAATTCGAACATGAAATCTATTATTTATGTAACAATAATACATTATCCAATCCTGAGGTTTCAATAGAAACGTTCTAAGATCTTTAAAAAGATTTAACCATTCAATAACTCGAATGTGCTTTTACAAAAGTCTCCTTTTCAATGATTTTTTTGAACTATGGTCACTAATTATAATAAAGTATTAACATATTATTCATTACCTGTGAAAGTTTTCAAGGGCGATTCGGTCATTCGGAAGTTATCAGAAAATAAATACTTTGGACGGCTCAGATCGACCCACGGTAGCATGATTGATATACCCGCACTCACACCCTAAGATCTCCCGCGCGGCGAACTCCCAACCATCAAAGATGCACTCAGCTCCCCTTCCGAAGAAGGCATAAGGAAGGAGGAGGAGAAGTTGAAAGGTTTTGGAGATGCGAACGCGAAATCAATCCAAACGCCGAGCCGAAACGCCACCCGGTTTGTTTCCGTAACCCTATTCCCTATTTTGATTAGTTCGGCGCAGAAACCCTCAGTTGTCGATTCTTCTCCGCAGCCCAGAATGATTCCGAAGTGGGAACCAGTTCTGGCGCTAAATCGAAGCGTGGGAAAGGTTTTGTAACGATTTCTTTCTGTCATCTTCATCGATTCATTTATTTTTTGAAAGTGGCATCGTTCTGGTTACTATTTACCTCCAATTTGCGCTTTTAGGTTCCCTAACCGCTAGATTGGAGGAGACGACCGTCAATATATCGAAAAAGGCAACTTCTCACACAGCTTTGGGCTCTAAACGGCGGAAAGAAAGTGTCACTTACCATGGGGAGCCCGAAGAGAAGGTTGGCCCATTTCTAGTTCTTTTCCCCCCAAGGTTATAAACATGAAATGTTGTTAGGTACGCTTTAGAAGCTTTGCGTGGGGCCTTCGGATCAGTCATTATGGAACCACAGGATGACTTGTTGTGATATATGATGTTTGCTTACGCAGAGACAGAAGGATGGTGTTATCTTTGAGTTGTTCTCTTCGTCTGCTCGAGCATTCATGACTACTTAGCAATTTGAGTTATTTATCTGCTTCATTGATGAAAATTTATTCTCTTTTATGTTTGTGGTAGCTGTCTGTGGTTGTTTGATTCAGTATTTCTGAACGGTGAGAGGATGATAGGGTAAAACACATTATGATAAGAGTAGGCACCGAGACATAAAACTAGTTTTTGTAGTGCATTTTCATTATTCTACAAAGTTTATGCCATAGTTTGGGTACATACTAATGGAAAATATTCAGTTCCTATTATCTCAGGTAGAGGAACCAGCTGGAAAGAATAGTGGAAGCATAGATACTAAAGATTGTGTTCATGAATTTAATCTGAAGGGTTGTAGTACCAGGAATGGTAAAGGAAGCACATTGGTAAAAGAGGGTGATGCAGAAGACATTTCTTATGATGCAAATGAACTAGTCTGGGAAGAGGGTAGCATTCCTGTTCCAGAGAATCTAGAAGGTTATTCACATGATGTTGGTAGGGAGATCACTGTTGAATTCACTGACTCACCATCGTGTTCTCAAAAGAAGCTTCCTCGAAGAATTTCTGCTAAAGATAAGGTAATTCTGAATTATCAAGGCAGGTTTATGTTTAAGGATGTACTTCTATGCAATGTGTGATTCTTTTTAGGGCACTGTTAATATGGCAAACATAGGGTAATTATTATTTCAGGAATTAGCAGAGCTTGTTCATAAAGTGCATCTGTTATGTCTACTTGCAAGAGGGAGGATTGTTGACAATGCTTGCAATGATTCTCTGATTCAGGTTCTTGTATTCTGCTACATGTCAATCTTTGTACATAAAACAAGTTTTCTTTTAACTTTCAGATGTTTTGCAGGCTTCTTTACTTTCACTTTTACCAGTCAACTTGCTGACAATAGGAGAGGTTCAAAAACTAACGGCTAACAGATTATGTGCCCTTGTAAATTGGGTAAGGGGTACTTTTATGAGTCTGAATATTGTATGTAGCAGATACTCCTTGACATTCTCACAAATTCTGTACTTCCTGCAGTTCAGTAATAATTTCCGTGTAAGAAGCCGGAGCATTGATAAGGGTTCTTTTAATGCAAATCTTGCGTATGCCCTTCAAACCCAGGAGGGGACAGCTGAAGAGGTGTTTATCTCTGTTGCTATTTTTTATGTATTTTTTTACTTAATGATTCTGGTCATTACTTTAGATTGTGAACTTCATTTTCAATCTTTAGATAGTTAATGGAAATTGTTTTGTGAAGTTCGAATTTTTCTTCACTTGCCTGGCTTTTTTATTTGACTGCAACAATTTGTTGAAGCAGTTTCTTTCATATCTTTTATGTTAGGATCATAGCCAAGTGTGAAACTGTAAGGTAAGATCACATTAAGTAGGTCTGCAAAAAAATTTCGCAATCAATGAATCACCTGTTTTGATTCTCAGAGTAAATATAAGCATTTGTTCAGAGAATGAATATAGATGACATCAGAATAGACTCCAAGTACTAGTATACTGGTAGGTTATTGACATTGTTTGATGAAGAATTATTAATCAAGGCTAAGAAGCACAATGCAGGTAAGTAGACTTTAAATTTGGAGGTCATCCATGAGCGCATTCATGTCAGAAGTTTGAAAGCATTGTAGACTAGTTGATATTGAAGAATATATATTAAGGTATTAAGTCAATGCTGTAAACCCGTTCTTTATTAACATGCCAGTCAGCTAATGAGGAGAGCAAGAATTTGAGACTTCTCCATATCAAGACTTTTAATCTCGTACCATCTCGATGTATCGAGCTTTGCTCGGTACGATACGGTATGGGGGTACCGAGAAAATTATAAAAATCAATTTCAGCCTCATCGTCATTGCCTTGTCCTCCTTTTCCTTATCCTTCTTATCGTCACCTTGGCTACGGCCTTTGACGTCAAGGAGGTGGGGAGAAGAAAGACGACATTGAAAGGTTCTTCGTGCAACGGCAGTGGACAAAGGAGACCGTTCGGAGATGAAGAAGACTGGGGTCTTCACTGTCTTTGTCGCGACCGCCTCTTCTGTTGCTCTCGCCGCCACCTCCTCCAATCCCCACTCCTCCGGTTCCTCCTCCAAAGAGGTATGACTCTCCTCGTTGTTACCTCTTGGATTGAAATCGTCAGGGGAGGGAGGCGTCGGATCGAGATCGAGAAAGGGCATGGAAGACAAGTTCACATCGAGGTTCAATGGGCTCAGGTTCATCGAGATGCTGGTGACGATGCATCGATGACTCTGCGGTCCTCTTTCTCGATGTTTCTCCCTCTTTTTCGAATGCCCTTTTCTTCCTCGTCTAGCCTCACCTCATCGCAGCCAAATACCTGATACCGCCTGGTAGTGGGTGGTCCGTGTGCCGATCAGCTGGCGAACTGATACGTACCGCCCATACCGAGTGATACGGAATGGTATTAAAAACCCTGCTCCATATATTATTTTATAAAATTTTATGATCAACTATCTTCCTAAAGTTTGTCATAAATGTAAATAAAAGAGGGCTTGCCATACATTTTAGAAGGTTGTTTGGTGGAGTGTGACAATTTACCTTTTTAGTTGCAATTTATTCTCACAAAATTGGAATAATCCTCCGATCTCCATGAAGACACGGAAAATGTTTAAGACAAGGTGAAATGATTGCTATTTACAAGGTATAGGTGCCAAAGACTAGCCCATTTGGCACAGATATAGTTTATCACAAAAGTTATTATGTGTGAGGATTTGATAGTTGCAAAATGAGGTGCCAAAAATAGAATTTTGTGATATTGATACTTAAGGAGGAAGAGTCCATGGTTATTTCAAATAGTGATTTCAATGGGCTCGAGCGCCTTGCTTCATTTCCAGGCAGCGCGCTTCAAAGTGGCGTCGCTTGGGCGCTCGCCCGAGCCCAGGCGTCGAGTGCTTCAGGCGAGTGCCCGGGTTAAACCGGGCGACTGAACCAATGTTTTAGGTCTGGTTCAGTCTCCGGTGCTTTAGTTGGTTCAATCGAACCAACTAAAGCACCAATATCAACTTTTCTCTCACGACTTCCCAACCCTAACCTTGCTCGCCGCTCCCGCTGCCGCTGTCACTATCGTCGCTCCCACTGCCACTGCCACTGTCATCGCTCGCCGCTCCCGCTGTTGTTGCTCGCTGTTATCGCTGCCACCGCCACTGTCATCGCTCGTTGCTTCCGCTGCCGTTGCTCTCAATCAACAGCCTTGATCTTCCTCTTACTCATACTCTTCTCACTTCAATAGTATACTGTTAATAGTATATTAACAGTATACTACTAACTGTATACTAGTAATAGTATTTTTATTTATTAGATTAATAATATATTATTTTGATTTTAATACTGTTAATTTTTATTTATTTGAAATTATTGTTATTGTTTTTAATTTTGAGACTTTTTGTTAATATGATATTGTAATTTTACAAGATTTTCTTAATTTAATATCGTATTTTTATTTAAATAATTATTTTATTAATTATATTATATATTTTTATATTTTAGTGCCTCACTTCACTCGGGCGAGCGCCTCGGGCTTTTTTGGGCTTTGATGCAAGGTTCGCAATACCGTACTACCGGTATTTCGACCTGGGCTCGGTACCGGTACGGTACGGTATACCGAGCGGTACACCCAGGTGTGTCGAGTACTGTAGCACCGCTACAGTGCTACAGTGCACTCGGACCGGTAACAGGCGGTCCGCGTATCGACAACCTGTCGGATCGGTACGTACCGTCCATACTAGGCGGTATGGTTCGATACGGCAGACCCTGTTTGATGTCTAGCGCTTTTTAAAAGATGAAGCAAGAGCAATGCTACTATAAAGAAGAAAGAAAGGTATGACAAAGTCGAATTGGAATAGATGTTTTCTCTTGAACATTGCATAACACCTCCACAAAGCTCACTTAGTTGTTATTGGCCATCAAAGAACATTATTATGCTGATTGTTTTGATGCCCTTGAACACAATTCTTAATATTCAACTGTTGTTTTCCTTATCTTGGAAAAATTATTATTAATCAAGGGGCTGAGTAAGATATTGTATTTTTCTTCGACTCTGGTGTCTCTTACGACTGTGAGATTCTTAATCCATGGTCAGGTTGGTTTAAATTAATTTTATAATTTGTCTTAAATATGTCACACTATTTTTTTATCTGATCTTTGAATTGGCAGTGAACTTTATCTCATTGCATAAGTCTTATATATCTGTAGGTGATTTCTTGGTTAATGAATAACAAGAAATGTGAATCAAATGTAACTTTGGTTCTTCTAATGCAATTTTGTGCTCCTTTTCTAGTGCCTTCATGTCTTTTCAATCCTTGCCTGAAGTTTAAATTTATATAAGACAAGCATTGTGCTTTCTTTTTGTTCAGTTATGCATATATATATATCTCGCTAAGGATTTTACATTTGAGTGAAAGATATAGATAGTAATTCTTGGTCTACTTTCTTGAAGAATTGCATGAAATGTTTTAATAGTTGGATTTATTTGTGTAGGTTGCTGCATTGTCAGTGGCCTTGTTTAGAGCTCTCAATCTGACAACTCGGTATGTGGACATGATGGTTAAACAGTCAAATAGGCTATCTAATTTACAATTAGCACTTGTCGAACCACAACTTGAATATCTTTTCTTCCATCTATAAATTTGTAGTTTCATAAAGTGCCCTTTTATCTTTCTCAGAGCTGTCAGTTGAGGTTAGTGGTTTTATGGGAGGTAGAGGAGGGTGAGAAAAGAGGCTTTGAAAATTATTTATTAAACTTACCCTATTATGCTTAACAGAGATTATTGGTGAGAAAGGATATCGTATTTGAATCTAGGATTAATTTTTTTATAATTTGGTTGAATCTAAATTATATTTTTATTCATTGGTTTTTGGATTATTTTTTTTATTTGGATGTTTGAGTTTATGTAGTATTACCTTTATTTATCACTGAAAAATGATGATAAAATAAGAAAGAAATATGATTCTGGATAAGGTTGGACTAGGAGATGGTAGGATAGAGAAGATATAGTCATTTTCTTATTCAACCTTATCTAGTCATAAATGAAGCCTTAGATTATGAAACATGTAGAACAATGTTGTGATACAAATTTCTAGTGATCCGCAGCCTTTGTCCTCAAACATGGCCCCTGTGAAATGAAAACAAAAGACTCCACTCTAGCTCTATTGGGTCAGCTCAAGTCTTGTGAGGATAGTCTAAGGGACGAGCCAGGGCAACCTTTCACAATGGGGGCTTAATCTTGGATGCCCCGACCATATGGGCTGCCCAGGGAAAAGACCCACATTTTGTATCAACAACTCAAGATTACTTAGAGGCTTACATAATCATCATAGGCAGCTCATTTTAATGTTTGATCATATTTGGTCAAAATTGATGGGTCAATGAGGTCAACTCCTACTCCTAATCTGCAACAATAGTCCAGATTGACCTTTATCCATTTGGAGAGTTCTAAACTAAGCCCAAACTTGATTTGATCACAGGTTTCTTAGGTGTTTGAGACTCATTGGAGGCACCGATGAGTGTCAGTGGCGTGGATAAAATTGACAGCTAGCTAATTGACATATCTCTTTTTCCTAGTCAGATAAGGATTCAGAATAGATTGTTTAAGAAATATGTAGTTTTAGATGGAGTAGATGAGTTTTGTATCAGCTGAGGAGAGTCTATAAATTGGTATTATGTAGCCCTTATGTTCTAGAATTGAATTATTGCACTACGCAAGATCTCATCTTCTGAAGTTCTCTATCTTTCTTCCCTCTTTTCTTCTCCTATTTTTTTCTCAATCTTTTTTCCCTCTTTTATCTCTATGTTTAACTTAGAGGCTTCCTTTTTCCATAATGTAATAAGGCACTTGATAGGAGACAAATTTTCATATTAGACAATGGTATGATGAATTTTTTTGAGGAAAGAAACTGTGATTTTTCATATCTAATGGTCTTGCTATTTTCTTTATCTATATGATGGATATTTCTTTTAGTTCCTTAGGATCTTACTATCTTCATTATTTGAGTATTGCTTTCAGCTTTATTCTTGTTATTATAATTCACTATGTCTTTCTCTTCTCACCTTTTTCATTCTTATTTCAAGATTAAATTCTTGTAATTATTTGTTGCATTGTTATGTTGTCTTACACTTGTGATTGATGCTTTATCAAGTCAGCATGTGGATTTGCATGACATTGTTACTCTATTTTAGATGTTCTCTTAACAAAGCAAGTTTGAAACCTTTGAGATGCCTACTTCTTACCTTGAAATTCATTTGTGGTCTTTTACCTTTATGTCATGCCCCAATATTTGAAACCAACAAAACAGTATGATTTCAAATGATTGCAGAAATATAAAGCAGGATCAATGCTAAATATGAATCCAAGAAAAAAATTAAAGATAAAAACTAGTGTACCTTCATTACGAGACTTTGAGGATAAGTTTAGTGCAGCAGAAAGATGATTGATGCATTCCAATCCAAGCGAATTCAAGTTTTTAGTTTGTGAAAGCAGGTTAGAATTTTTATTGATGAATTTAGGAGTATTTTAATAATTTTTAAATGTTTAATAAATGTAGGATGAGTCTTATATAAAAAATTTGCAATAACGGTCAATATGGTTTGGTATGGGTGTCTTTATTGGTCCGACAACCTACCAACATAAAAACATGGTAAACAAGTGGTACACCTAGTACTAGTCTTGTATTGCTCCTTACAAGACTTGTCCCACCCGGTATGCTCGTTAAAGGGACTTGGGGGCCTGGGGCAATAAATTGTTCAGGCTTTTTTCGAAACTTGGTGTGTACCAATGTATTGAAACATGGTATGCTGGTATGGGATCTGTAGTGGTCCCGAGCAGGATCACTACGGGTTTGCTAGCCAAAATTAAAATCCTTGCCTTATATTATTATTTTGGTTTTTATTATACATTCACTTGAAAAGATGATATGATTAGATTGGAATCTTGGTTAAGAGTTATAGATATATTTGTGGATCACCCGGTACCAGTCCGCACTGTAGCAGTACAGTGCACAGTGCTACAGTGTATTGGTGCACTGTAGTACTGTACATTGCACTGCTATAGTGCTCGGTACACCTGGGTGTACCGCTCGGTACATTGTACCGTACCGGTACCGAGCCCAGATCGAAATATTGGTACGGTACGATATTGCGAACCTTGCTTTAGAAGATAAGACTTCTATCAATCAAACAAAAGTAAGTCCCAAAAAATAATAATGTCTTACAAGAACACAACTAATTATTGATAAAAAAACTTTCCAACAATTCCTGAAAAATGAAAATAGACTAATCTAGACTAAGTCAAACTAAGACACCTAGCTTTTCGTAGACTAAGATGCTCAGATTGCTGGGAGTTGTTGTGTAGCGGCTTCTTCTTGTCATTTTTTATTCCACTTAGGTTTGTTTTAATTGCAAAGTTCTAATGATCATATTGTTTAAGGCATTGGAAAATGAATTCTGAGATTTTGTTAAAGATTCTTATAGAACCGAGGTTTATGTTTGGTAATATTGTTAATACTGTTATAGCACAAACCTGTTGGTAGTTGCATGCAAGTGAATAAGATCTTGGACTGGCTAAGCTTGAACAGTTCACAGACCTATACCAAGTCATGCCAGTTGGTCTCGGCCTATATCATACAAATCCTGTTCTAAATTAAACTTGTGCCGATTTGTAATGATCTGTATTTATTGGCATGCCACAATCTACTTTGATATGAGGTAGACAACCGACTCTGGTTGGTTTTGTGTTTCAATATCTCATCCAATTGACACGTACCACTCATATCAAGGAGTATGGGTCAACATGCAGATACATGATATTGTCTATTGACTTTAGATAGTATACAGTTTTGGTTGTTGCAGTTAGGCTAGAGAAGCTTAACTGATATCAGAAGATGAAGTTGGGAATTTGATGCATCTTCAATGGATTCTTGTTGTTGACTTAGAGAAGCTTTCTGTGCAGGACAAGCTTTCTATCCATGACAGATAATGTTAGATGCACTTGATTATTATAATGCAACCTCTTTATTTCTTTTAAGCACTTTCCATCAGTTACTAAAGGAAATGCTTTGCTTCAGGTTCGTGTCTATTCTTGATGTGGCTTCTCTCAAGCCAGATGCTGATATAACTGGAACCACAAAGCAAGATGGAGCAAGCATGGATATGAGAATATTCTCTCCTTCAACTTCGGTCTTGGCACCTAGTCCAGTTAGTAAAATAACTGGTGTTCATTTACTGAATAAGAATAATGAAAACTTGGAAATATCTGGTAAGGATAAGTTTGATGAGGAGCAGCAAGGTTCAGGTTGCAAGGAGAATTTGCCTGAGGTTTCTGCAGCTGCTTGTTCTTCTAATGATCCAGTCAGTTATACATCAACCATTGGAATGTGCAATAACAAGTTTAATTGTCAGGACACAAAATCAAAAAGAAAAGGGGATATGGAGTTCATGTTGGAGATGGAAATGGCCATTTCAGCAACCACTGCAGCTGTTGCAGATAACAAATTACATTCTGAGATTGATGAGTCACCTGTATCTTCGGCAAGACTAGCTTCTTCTGTGAAAAAACCAACACTAAGAAGTGCTGTAGATTCCTCAGTTTCAATGCATGGTAGCTCTGGTGCAGTTTGGTCTAGAAGGACTGGGCCTCCTTTGTACTGGGCAGAAGTCTACTGCTGCGGAGAGACTTTAACAGGAAGATGGGTGCATGTTGATGCTGCAAATGCTATAGTTGATGGTGCAGAAAGGGTAGAAGCTGCAGCTGCTGCTTGTAGAAGACCATTGAGATATGTTGTTGCTTTTGCTGGAAATGGTGCTAAAGATGTGTCACGCAGGTATGACCTTCACTATTTCTATCCTAAAATGGACCTTTCTTAGATAAATATGATTATACAACTCAAAATACATATATATCTAGTCAATCTTCATACTATTATTAAGGTTGAGAAAAGCAAAAAGTTCAATTCAAGAAATTTGTTTCTTTGAAATTAACTGTATTACTTGGTTTCCTACAGAGATATTGTTTAGATTTCCAGTCAATCGCTTGATTTTTCTGATTGCCTTCTTTTTCCTTTCTCTTGTTTCCTCTTGCTATGAGCCAAGAACAGTTGTATTATCACTCATTCATGAACAAAGAATGCACCAAATAGGCACTCATTTTAGGCAGTGAATTAAGCAGATTGATGATGCCACAATGCCATTACTTGTTGCAACTAATTGGTTTATTCAATAACAAACTGAACACTTGGCAAAAATGGTTGTATATCCCATTCGTGGATTATAGCCATGTTCTTGGTATGAGCTGAAGGGTATCCTTTGGAATGAAGTGGATGCTTGCTGACTGGTACTGACCAGGTGGCTTTTGTATAGATCCATATGGGTGCCGTGCTGGTCAATGCGATTAGTTCAGGTTCAAGCTGGTAAATGGTTGTCTGCTTGCACCTTGGTCAGCCGAGTCATGTGCTCATGAGTTTGCATGCCTACACCTAGGTCATGTTTCACACATTCTTAACACTTGCATGTTGAACCATTCTCATGGGGCTTTAGACTGACAATGTTGAGTTGATTAAGCTCATGGTAGCTCAGACAAGTGCCTGGGATGCCCAGCGCCCAAATGGTTCATCTTGGTTAGCCCATCTGCTGAAGATGACATTCTCATCTGAGCAACAGTAAGTTGAAGGTGCCTCGATAAAGCACATTGAGGTGCTCGGGTCTCAATATCATAGTGCAACCACCTTAATTCAATACATTTGTCTCTTGTGTTTGTTTTTAATGTCTCACAAGCTTGTGATAAATTTGTTTGAGATTTATATTATTTTATGTCACCTTGATTTCTTTCTCTGTGATTGTAAAGCTACTGTTGATATGGGCCTTTGCCACTCAGGATCATGTTGCAACCTAATGACTTATGTCACTTGTGTATGTTTATAATGCCTCACAAGCCTGTGATAAGTTTGCATACAAATTATTAGATTGAAATCTGTACAAGGAACAACCAAAAAATCCCAACTGCTATGCTTTGCTGCTGGGAGAGGAACTTTGGTATTTATAATCATTGAAAGAGAAATAATAAAAGAAAGAAGAGATATTAGGTTTTTTCCAGTGAAGAATACTCATTAATACTGCTGGAAAAAATAGGATAAGAGTGAGAAGAAAGAGAGGGGGGCTAAAGCAGCTAAACTACCATTCACATGGAACACAATACCCATTCAATATTGTACTGCAACTAGTTTTGAATAGTGTATCGGATGCTTAATAATATAGAGTCTATATATCGATACAAGACCATCTACACTAATAACAAGTAGTTATTTAACTTAATACAAGCCAGGACACTTGAACCACTAATTTAAATAAAATAAAATGTTGAAAATGGTAAAAATGTATTATTATTTAAATTTTACATAATCATATTTATAGGGGTAATGTTGGTCCTTCGCAAAGTGGGTGACCAGGTTTTACTCATGGAAACAATTTCTCTATTTATAGATATAACACTTTATTCTTAGCCTGCATACATCTGCTAGAACTGCTTTAGGTAACTGCTCTCAATTGTGGTTATATGGCATGGATTTGTGGGGTTGAAACTTGATTGGATATTTTGTTGGACTGTGAGAAAGAATTACCCTTTTTCGTATATACCTTTATCTGTGAAGCTTCTTGATGCCTCTCAAGGACTTGTGGGATACTTAGAAAATAGCATGGTGAGGCCAGTCTCTATTACCAGTATATAAAAGAAATCAATTTTGAGAAATCCCGTTTTTAAACAACTACCCAGTATTTTACAAGAAGTTGAAACTTGAAAGAATGTGCTTCTTATAGATCATGAAATCCACTTAACTGTTTTTCAGGTATTGCATGCACTGGTACAAAATTGCTTCCAAAAGAATAAATGCACAGTGGTGGGAAGCAGTATTGGCACCGCTAAAGAAGTTCGAATCAGCTACAGCTGGAAGTGTGGTTCAATTGGAGGAATTGCATGGAAAGGCTCCCTCTGATCGAGAGAAGAAAGTGATCAGTTCTGTTGAAATGAATTTCAGAGATAATCAGGTTACCTCTCAGAGGCCCCTAGAAAGTCCATTTGATGCTGATGGATTGGGTAAGAAAGTGTCCAATCTTACCAAGTCACTGGATCTTGAAGCTTTACCTAACTGCCTTTGGATTGAATCAAGGGACTCTCTTGAAGATATGGAACTTGCAACTAGGGCTTTAACTGAACCTCTTCCTACGAATCAATTGGTAACTACATGAGAAACTTACAAGTAATAACTTGGTGATTTTTGTGTGAAGATAACTTTTTCCTAATGCATTGTTATGCAATGTAGGCCTATAAAAATCACCATCTTTATGCTATTGAAAAGTGGTTGATGAAGTATCAAGTCCTATATCCAAAAGGTCCAATACTTGGTTATTGTTCAGGTCATCCTGTATATCCTCGGTCTTGTGTCCAGAACCTACAAACGAAGCAAAAGTGGTTACGGGAGGGCTTGCAAGTTAGAGCTAGTGAAATGCCAGCAAAGGTGTAAAGTGTAAACTATCAACATGATTATGATCCAGCTGCCTTTCTTTTATGTAAACCTTTTTTTTTTTCTTCTTTTCCAGGTAGTGAAACGTTCAAGATATTTTGTCAGTGGACAGACATCTGAAGTAGATGTTCCCAAAGAGGATTATGGCAAACCTTCTGTAGAACTTTTTGGGAAGTGGCAATTGGAACCACTACAACTCCCCCATGCTGTAAATGGGATTGTGCCAAAGGTGATAGTATACTTCACTTTCTACTAAAAAAAAATCATAGTTTCTTTTTCCTTATCCCTTGGCTTAAAAGTGACCTTGTTTGTGTTTCTCTCTTCTGGTTTTTTAGTCGTCATAAATTCATTGGGTACATGGAGTTGCTTCTGCAATTAGGATAAACATTAATTATTTGGAAACCAAGTTTATAGTCAGAAGTCTTGTGCCTTATATGATGTTGCACTCATGTCTATAATGCGGATTAGGCATAATTTAAACTTCAGATGCGCATTTTTTTAGTCTTTATTACTAATCTCTGTAGCAACAATGAGACTGTTGTTTTAGCTGATTAGGCTTATTGCTATTATCAGTCATCGTGGTGAAATTTGTTTCTGAATTTCTAATTTGATTAATTAGTAACGCTATGCTTTATATTTTTCTACTTTTAGTTCGTCACTTTGTAAAGAACTTTCAATATGCTCACACTGATGTATCAATCATTCTGTCATTTCAAATCTATTTATGTAATACAAGATGTCTTCGGAAGACATCTTGTTTGTGACGTCAACTAAGATTCATCGTTGTTTACTTATTCTATGGTTTTCTAGTACTTCTTTCTAGATATGCAGTATACAGCTATACTATCCATCTTACTGCCCTGAATATTTTTGGTTAAATATTTGGTCGATGTCTTAGGTAATTACTGACTCATTTTTTTCATGAATATCTATATAGAATGAGCGTGGTCAAGTGGAAGTATGGTCTGAGAAATGTCTCCCACCTGGTACTACGCACTTGAGGTTACCCAGATTGGTTCCAGTTGCAAAGAGACTGGAAATTGATTTTGCACCTGCTATGGTTGGATTTGATTTTCGAAATGGCCGCTGCATTCCTACATTTGATGGGATTGTGGTTTGTAGTGAGTTCAAAGGTGCTATCTTGGAGGTAAGCTTTATCAGGTTCATCTGCTTCCGGTTCTTAGTTTAATTTTAAAACTTTTCTTTGGTTCTACAATCTGCAGTTACCACAATCCCAATTCTAGACTACATATCCTAACGTACATGTTTTTAAGGAGCAGACCTCTCCGGACGTCATTGCTCACAATGTTGATGACTCTTGTAACTTTATAATTTTATAACAGTTTTTTGTTATTGAGTTTAATAAAGAGCAAGTTACATGTGATTTGCCAACTCTGACCCATGTTATTTGATATTTTGATCAGAGCACCTTGACTGATTATTGTATCATGTAACTGTCTCAAAGTGGTCAAAGGCATAAAGTACTGCATTCTAGCAGTTGTCTGTTTATTGTTTACTTAATTTACCTTTTTAAATATTGAAGAACCAGTACAGACGGTTGGCAGACTACAAGTGCAATAAGATTAAGGACCTCATGGCCACATTATGTACGTCTGATGTTAGTGCATCACTAGAAAGAAGTAGGAAGGACCTCTCAAAGAACTAGCATCTGCTTCAAAATCTTGTCATGTCTTGTTAACAAAACTTGCTAAACTCTTGCTGACTCACATCAGATACTTGAAACAAATGAAGGCATATGTGTTGCACTTTGATACTCGTTCTGACTGATAGTGGGCAGCTTAGGGCACCTTGAAACTTATAGAGATGTTGATTAAAAGAAACACAAATTTTGGATTTTGAATTACTATTATGTGATAACCTTATTTGTTTGTATTTGGACTCGAAGTATTTTTATGAATTTTGTTATGTGAATGACTGTTATTCTGCTTTAAAATTACATAGAGAAACTTTACATAGTATCTCTTCATATTATAAAACTTTTGCAATATGTGGTAATTTACTCCTTATTCATTGGTACATTCATGCCTTTTTTGTCCTTTCAGAAGATGTCTTGTTGGCTTTCCTTGCATTCACGTGGATAATATTGCAGCAACCGACTGCTTGCTGCAATATGTTCACATCTAGATGTTTATTCTGACTGATATACCAATATTTTCTGTTGGAATCTTCATTTTAAATAGGCATATGCAGAAGAAGAAGAAAGGAGAGAATCTGAAGAGAGAAAGAGGAATGAGAACCATGCCCTTTCAAGGTGGTTCCAGCTGCTTTCCTCCATTATTACGAGACAACATTTGAAGAACTCATATGTGGACTCATCATCCACACATGAGACTGTTAGCAATGATCAAAAGAGTAATAGAAATGTTTCTCAAGAAAATAGTCCTTATGGCAACATGCCCTCAGCCTCAGATTTTCGCGATGGTTCTAGTCAAGAATTAAAACCTGTTTTTCCATCCGATCATGACCATGAACATGTATATCCTGTGGAGAACCAGAGCTTTGATGAAAAAACGTTAGTGTGGACCAAGCGATGTTCATGTGGATTCTCAATTGAAGTGGAGGAATTTTAGCAGATCAATCTTGCACTTGTAAGTTATTCTCTGCTGGAAGTGTATTACTTCTCTAACTAGGTTACTTTCTCGTATTACATATTGTATTATCAGGGCCTTTTTACATCGTTTCATGTTATAGGTTCAAAATCCGTACTGCTCAGTTTTTTCAAGAAACAAACAATTGAATATCCTACATTAGTTTGATTCCTCTGCTCTTTTTAACTCAACCTCCACCAGTCATTAGTAATTAAGCCATTCCAATTATATATTCTCTGAATTGTTTCATGCATTGGTGATCTATCTTGTCGATCTATCCTGCTGAGCTCTCAGTTTCAGTTTTGTTTAATTCCAATCCTAATTAATACAAGCTCTCATATATGAACTCCAGAACACGTTCCCTACCAAAGAAATGGCCCTTTAATTTGGTGTCTTGTTGTCAGTCTTGTTTATCCAACCCTTGAATGGTGCCATGGTCAACAACAAGCTCTAATATTCCAATTATTTGTAGTTGGCATCAAGTTCTTTTTCCTGCGATTGGGCTTTGTACAAGGTTCTCTGCACATGATTAGGGAATTTTGATTATATGCTTTGTCCCATATCATTTTCATTAGTGTTTAGTAGTTTAGTTTACATTTTAATTTCACAAGATAAGATAAGGCATCTGCTAAGTATGTCCCTATTAAAGTTTTATGGGAAACCTAGTGCATAAACTTTTTTTTTTTTCTTTTGCCTTCATTGATGGTTATGTTTTTATTTGTGTCTGTTATGTTGAATAAGTACATTTTGTAACCTTATTAGTTATTTCTTTATGATCACCATTTTGCCTTTTATTAGAATGACCTTATTATCCATTTTGACTTGCTTTTCCTTGTAAGCAGCTGCCAAACTCATGCTATGCTACTACTCATGCACTATAATTAAGAATTTCCAGTATAAATTTTGGTGCTTGTAAGCCAAACAACTTGATGGATGTTGAAATATCTTTCCTGCTTCATTTGTCATAAAAAAAAAATTATTTTCAAACTTAATTTCTTATTGCACCTATCTGATCTATTTATGCCATTTGTTTAGATATGTAGTGATTGGCCAAAAAAAGTTAATAAAAATAATTCTAAGCTTTTTGTGATCCTAACCTAAGAAACCTTATGACCTCTCTTTTGAAAACTTAGTGCACTATTGAGATTAACAAAAATAGAGGAAGGTTGCTGTTGGATATAAACAGAGCAGCTGATTGTAAACTAGCCATTGGATGCAAAGTCAGATTAGAAGATGTTATTTAACTGAACACATCAACAGTGCATCCTTAGAGAGGATTTTGGTCGCAGAAGGGTTCATGGTGATATAAAGTGAGATTAGAAGATGTTATTTAACTGTACACATCAACAGTGCATCTTTAGAGAGGATTTCAGTCACAGAAGGGTCCATGGTGACTCCTTTCTAAATATGATGCCAATACGGCCTTCTCCATGAGTCCATGGTGACTTCAAAATATTTTGGCTACATTTTTTTGCACTTAGAAAAAAGTACTTCTTGCCTAGTAATTTACTGCTAGACTGGGAGAATAGGTGGTGGAAAAATAGAAGAGGAAAATAAATAAAAGTTACAATCAACTAGTAGCCTAGATTGTGAGAACAGGTGGTGTAAAACAGAAGAGGAAGAAAAGAGGAGACTAGTCACCTAAGCCTAGATTTGGTGAATAGGCAGTTAGAAGAGGAACAGAGGAGTATAGTCATCTGGATTTGGAGAATAGGTCATGGAAAACAGGGGCAAGAGAAAGCAGATTGTATGGCTTTGCAATTCTTACATGGTGCACTGAGGCTAGGAGCACATGGATGCATGTCGTGTTCAGTCCACAACACTTGAAAGCTATATGTGACAGTGATAAAAAATGGCATATAAATAAATAGAAGGTTAGTTGGTTTAGCAATGTAGGATTGAAGCCTCTCTCACAGGTTATATTCACTCCATGTGCCGGAAACGCAAAAATCTAAGAAACCTTTTGAAGAGTCAAACACCTTAAATTTTTTAAAATAAACAAAAGCTTTTCACTATTTTCGATTTAAAGATGAGTTAACTCTCATAGGCAATTAAAAAAATAGAGGACATAAGACTGAACATTTAGAGCTGGAAAATGATATCTGCTTTGGATTTTTTTTTACTGCCAAGAATTGGACATATGGATTAAGTCACTTGTGGCTTTTTTGTTTTTGTTTTTCAAAGTGGTATTCTGGAACTTTTCCTTGTTCATCAACTTTTATGTAAAATTTGCTTTTTTTTCTTTCTACCCTAGTAGGTTGGATATTCTTATTCTAGTTGCTTTAGTATAACTAGGAGATTCTTGGAAGAAATATGGGGTTCTATTTCTGGTTGCAAAATTCTGGGTCTCAAATCGCACTGTAATACTTTTTAATCTAGGTTTTGAGGACCTGGTGAGATCTACAACATCAGTATTATTTGAGGACCAAATACGAGCTAGCCTCATGCCCAAGTCATTGGTAATTGAAACCATGGTTTTTTATTTCGAAGTGTACCGCCTGGTACGGGCGGTACATACCGGACCAAGATTCTCTCAACACACGGACCGCTCACTATCGGGTGGTACCAAATTTTTGGCCCCGCATCGAGCGATACGGGGCTGTATCGGGTAGTAACTGTTAGAATTTCAACTGTTACCAATCTGTACCGAGTGGTACTGGTCGATTTCAACCGTTACCGACCTTTTAGGCTAAAATAGTTAAAAACACTAATACAATATGTATTAGTGTTTTCAATTATTTTAGGCATACCGCTTAGTACGCCCTGGCGTACCATCGGTATGCCTCGGTACATACCGTATAGACCAAGGCTCGATACACTGATATAGACCGAAATTGCGAACCTTGATTGGCACTCGTTTGGACAATTTAATGCATCAGTCCAGGACCATATGTTGCATTACTTGAGTCCCAATGTGAAATAAACTATCACATAGGTCAATTGAACATGATGAATTATTGACTTCAGCTTTAAGGATGATTACAGATTACAAATGGTTACTTATACCCCAGACTTTATAGCTCGGTGAATTTTTATTCTCGAATCATAATTAGTGCTATTTTTAGCACAGTTTTGTTTTTTCTTCATCAACATCTGTTTAGTTCAGTTTCGGCAGACCAAAGAACATAAAAAACCAGTAAAAATTAAAGGTATCGAGTTCATAGTTTGACTACTTAACTTTTTCTTTGATGTCTTCCAAAATTTAAATCTCTTAAATAGGAAATAGTTGCTTTTGGTGGCTTGTCCAAATACCAGTATCTCAACTCTCAAAGAAGACACCAAAAACAGTGTGTTCATAACCATCCTTTCTGAATGGGTACTTTCACAGTCAAGTTTGATTTCTTCAGTCATATGCCTCTTAGGATATGCAAGGTTTATGTTGGTTTATTCAGAAAGGCCATCAGGTATATATATGCATTCTTTAGAACCCATACCTGTTCTATTTTGTTTATAGATTTTGGTGAGAGTATATCGGTTATGTAGTCTTCACTTTGATCGAATGTGCTTAATGGCTTTTCGTCCGTCAATTGTTTTAGCTTCTGCTGGTTCATCTTTCATGTTCATGGGAGATTATAAAAGCTTTTATTTTGACAAGTTTTTCCAGATGGTAGTACTCAGGATAGCACTAACCATCTTTTGTTGCTGAACAGCATCTGACAGCATACTTTTGTGAAAGGACAAATGAAGAAAAAGTAATCTCAATCATCAGAAGGATGTCCCAATCATCTGTAATATATAGTTCTTTTATTTTTCAACCTTGTCTGTGCAATTTATCCAACCACAGTAACCAGAAGAAATGTTTGACTTTGGGATGAGTAGCTGCATACCCAAATTTGAAGCATTTCTAGTTGTGATAACACCCAAAGTTAAAAAATTATATAGAGTTGGCTTCTGTTTGTTACAACGGTTGTTATGAAATCATTCTCAATATTCCATTGTCTAAATGTTTTGGAATTTTCACTGATATCATCTTTTTGGAATTTTCATTGGTATCATCTACAAGTTATTGCATTCATTCCACAACTACACCTTCTGTTTCAAGTAGTTATTAGATTCTTCCTGTGTACAAGGACGTACTGAACAGCAAAGCAAGGGGCTAAGTAATGGCCTCTTTATTGCCACAAACAGTATACAAGTAGTTCATCAGTTTTTGTCCTTTGACAGTCATTATTGAAGCATCATTAAAGCTTATCAACATTCACCTGTGGTGGATGGATGTACTGTTACAAATTTCAAGCTTGTCCTTTTTGTAATCAAACACTCCACAGAATAAAAGAGATCTTTGCATTCTAATGCATGGATCATGTTTAATGTCACTTGTTTTGCACGCATCAGAGTATTTAGACCATGGTTGTCAAAAATCGGATTAGACCAGTTATCTGACCGAAAAAAGGGGTAATGGGACTGCTGACCAGTCCAAACTACTTATCAGACTGTCTTTTCTTAAAAATGGCTTTGAGTTGATTCAGTATACCATGAACTCGCATGAACAGGCTATGTCAAGGAAGGCCGGTCCAATTTTATTACAAAGCATAATATAACTGGAACACCCTCAATGAGAGTACAATATGTCGAACCAAACCCACTTCTGCTGTCCATGAGAAATGGATACAATGGGGTGGGTTCAGATCTTCATTGGCTTCTTTCTTCAGTCGTTGTTGCCCTAATCTCATGGCCAAAAGGAGAGAACAAAGTATGGGCAAAGAACACAAAAACAAGATGACGAGAAAAGAACAGAGGTATAGTAATTGTGTGTGTGTGTGTTTTTTTTTTTTTCTAATTTTGGTTTTGTTCCAGAGATTGGAAGAGATTTTAAATATGATTCCTGTTATAATTGACTTAATTCCTTCTGTTTTATGTAGCATTTTTCAATTGATGTTTACTGTTGTGTGATTTATTGGAAGTATCTTGACATCTGGTTTATGATCAGACCCACAACTGTAACACCGATGCCACTTTTAGACTTGGATTGGATTGAGAAATCATAGGTAACAAGAAAATACTTTCTAGGAGTTTTTCCTGCTCTAAGTATAAGAAGCACTTTGGTGAAGATGAGTGTGATCATTTGGGGTGTTTTGATGTTGTCAACACTAATATCGTTTCTCGTTTCTGAATGATTCTTCATTTCATCTACAACCTTTGGAAGTTTGGATCCTCATCTATTAGCTAAGATATTTCACAGGATTGTTTTGGACATTTGTGAGTTGATTTCAGGTTTGCTCTTTTAGTTATTTAGAGGTTAAATTCTAGGGTATAAAATTGCTTTCATGCATTTATTTTTTGCCTCTTCAAGTTGACTTTTGTTGAACTTGCTGCATGCAATGGATAATCTCAATTTGAGTTTTGTTTGTGATCTTGTTGCATCTGATGTATAATCTACTCTTCATTGACTACATTCTACATACATTATGTATTCTGGATGCATGTTTGCAGTTAATACTTAAAAAGTTCTTAAGAATTTATTTCATTTAATAAGTCATAAGAAGTGTCTAGTTAGTTTTAAATTAATTAGTTGATAATTGAAAGTCAATGTTTGTTTAACCTTATTAGTTAATATTCTCGTTCTTGAATATTGGTATTTTTATATTGTTAGGCATAACAATCTTTATGTTTTACTTTTTCTATCTACTTTGTATGTTTTTTAGTGATTAAGGTTGTCCAAATTTTCCATAGTTTTTTGTGTTCAATATTGTTTTAAATATTTCTATTATGTTATTTATAATTTGTTTTTTTAATTAATGAAACATGTGACTTTGCTGATTGAGCAATTGGTTGAACCAGTGACTCGAGGTTTAGTTCAAGTCAATGAGTGGCTCGTTTCTCATAACTATGATTTATGTGAGTATATTACATCTTCAACATATATATTAGATGTTCATGATATGATAGCTTAAATTATTAATGTCCAATCAAGATATATGGTAATTTTGAGTGATATTAATTAGTCCCACGACATTAAGCAACGTTTACTAGCCTTCTCCAAGATTATTGTCAAAGAGCAGGATCCCAGTGACCGGAATCCATTCGTCACCGCCCAAGAAGTTGCCGACAGTGAGCTCCCAAGCGTCCGACGCTCTCCTTATAACGTGATACCGTGGCCACTTCACACTGTTGCTGGTGTCGGCACCGGTGCCTGTGTTCATATGCTCCCCGTAGTTGTAGTGTGTTCAGTGCAAAGCTTCCGTTCCACTGGAGCCACCCGGCGGATCAGCCAGGCTGCTCAACGACGTCTTCATGAAGACGGTCCTCGAATACTTCCGCCATGGCCGAGGTAGGTCTTGAAGGCGTTCCTGCACCGGTTTGAGGTCGACGGCGGGGATGACGACGATGCAGCAGTGGATCGATATGCCCGTGTTATTGTGTTGGGGTCGGCCCGTCCCTGCACGATCACGGACGAAGATGTTGCAGCTCTGGAGAGCGGCTACCGCGTCGCCGAAGATGAAGTCGACGGTGCCGTAGATGAGCTGCCGCTGCGAGTGCACATAGTGAGTGCCTTGGTAGCCCTTGAATCCGCAGCGGTAGATGACTGTGGCTTGGTAGCCCTTGGCTTGGTTTTTCTCCGGTCCGGCTGTGTTCTCGAACGTCATGACGTTGCCGGTGATGACTGCAAGCACAAGGCGGAGGAGATCGAGAACGAGGCAGTCAAAGATGAATGCTTGCATGGGGACGTCGTAGTGATTGGAGAGGCTGGAGAAGTCATTCAAACAATGCCAACCATGTGCATGATTTGATGGACTAACCTCAACCATCTTATTTTGTCTCAAAAACATGTTAGTGGACTCTACAGTCAACACCAAGATTACAGCCGAAAGAAAAGTATCAACAGTACTCCAATTCCATCTCTAACACCAAAAGTGGTGACTTGATTCGAAGTTCATGGAGGAGTTGCATGAAATCCTCCGTTTACGTAGAATTAGCCTCAGTGGTGACAAGAGAAACGTAGGTGACTTACCGAAGGTTGCAGACCTGAGGGTTGTTGTGATGCCGTCGTGCACATTCTTGCTGCCGGTCACGACGGTGGCATCTCTTCCGTCGCCAAGTAGCATCAGGTTCGCTGTCGACCTGTTGGTCTCCACAGTCTCACTACAAACGTTAGCCTTCAAATAGATCACGACCTCGAGTCACCGTCTCGATGGTGGGCAGAAGCTGCCACAACCTCCAAGATGATCCTGAAGTCCCCGGAGCAGTCCAAGGTTACCATGGGGCTAATTACATATTACATTTTATATTTAGCTATCTCATTATATTTTAAAAAATTACATTGACATTCCTATAATTAAAAAAAATAAAATATCTAAATTTATTTATCCTAGAGACATTAGTTTTATAAATAAAAATATTAAAATAAAAGATAAAAATATATTTTTAATATTTGGTAGCAAACGACAATGTCACCGGTATCAACGCAAACGTGGTTGTTAGACCACCTCCGACGACGATAATGTTTACTCTCATCGTGACACCACCCACCACCACGAGTAGCATGTTGTCGATCTCATTGCCACTCGTCGCATACCACTCTACTGTCAACACTGACACCAGCATCAACACCAATGACGTCATCATTATTCATCATCGAACATTAAAATTATTTTTTTATCCTTTATTTTTATGTTTTCGTTAGTAAAACTAATATTATTAAAATAAATGGACATAGATATTTTACTTTTGAACTATAGGATGTCAATATAATTTTTTAAAGTATAGAGACTATAACATTAAAGATAACCAACTATATAGGAAATATGTAATTATCCAGTCACCACGATATCGACTATCATTGACGAGCCCTCCGACTAAAGCTTACGATCTTGCCCGAGACTTATTTCATATTGATTTCTATTGACTATTATTGACAAACAACTTATTAATCCAATGTAAATCTCATATTCATGAGAGTATCTGTATTAATTTGGTTCTTCATGAAGCATGACATATACCAATATCATTACTGAACTCATGAGATGTGTCAATTTGTATAATATGACATTAGATATAACCTCGTATGTAAGTTATAGTTACTGGTAAAGGTTTCCAATGAATTAAGTGGGAGAAATTGCTATATATGATTTTGGATCCTTTCTTTTTCGTTATATTAACTAAAAGAATAATGAATCAAATAATATATGCTAGGTTGGGAACACGAATATTTTCGTTGGTGGGATATTGTGGACCACTCACCTCAAAAGAAATAATATATGCTAGTTTATGGATAATTAGTGTTTATATATGATTTCTTTGATGCATAGCTTTATGTTATACATGTATGCTAAAGAAGTTTTGCCAAATGCAAAATGTGAGAAACATCACTTGTCATCTTTGTCATTAGAGGAAAAGGAAAAGGGTAATTTATCATAAAATCTTCATTAATTAATTTTTATGATGCACCTCTATTAATAATTTATTCAAGATATCCTTTCGGAATAATAAAAATAGTGCTTGTCTCTCATTATCTCTCGATGATCTTATATTAAATCAGATTTAATATAAGAGTTCGATCCTCTCTTTTTTCTTCTTTTTTCACTCTTTTGTTCCGCCATTACTTCTCCATCTCTTTTTTTCTTAATGAGAAATAAAACAAGAAAAATAAGGAAAAGAATGAGGAGGAGACAATGAAAGCAGCTAAGAAAGATGACACACAAAAGAGTAGGAAAGCCTTTGGGTTCATTAATTCGAATCGATTTTAAATTTTAAAAAATAAAATAAAATAAAAGGATAAAATTGAGATTTACAAAAATAAAATTCTCAACAGAGGGAAGGGATGTCATGGGGGAAAAAAAATTGAATTAATAGGGCTGATAAAGTATCAAGCTTATGGGAAGAACAACTTTGCTTGGAGGAGTTGACAAAAGAAACTAAGTGGCTTAGAAAATGTTATATAAAATGGAGTTAAGCATGAAAAGGACTAAGAAACTACTGCATAAGAACTATATAGAATTCCTACGTGCTGTACAGTACAACTTCTCATCATCAATAATTAATGATATGGTCCTACATTTCCCTTCGAATATGTCATGTCACGCTTGCCAGCCTCTCCGAGGAACAAGTGGAACAGCTCAAGAACTTTAATTCTTTTAATTACAGAAAAAAATTATTTTTTGCTATTATTTCATCCAGTTTGCATCTGTGTGAACTACTGGAACAGATGGTGTGCACTACCAACCTTCGTCAACTCCACAATGCTCTACTTTTTTGTTTGGGAATTTGAACTTTTTTCTATTCCTGAAATATTCTTCAAGATTAAAAAATGGTTTCTTTATGACTCATATTGCAGCTGTTTGAATGCAGATTTCATATTTTAGAGCAAGAATTGGCAACATGCAAATCACTCTTTTTGGGCTGTTTCTTGTGATATGATATCTTCTGTGTTCCCTTAAAAATGTGATGGCAGCAAAGAAAGGGAGGAACTGCAAGAATTGATGTACTGTTAATCTCTCTGCAAAAAGATCACAATTTATAAAGCACATCTAATTCAATAAATCATAAGAATATTTTGCTCATCTATCTTGCCAAATATTCAATCAACAATCATTTTTATGATGTTGTAGTTATTGAGGTGCTGTTAATAATTCTTTTTATGATATGACCAAATTATGATGCATAAACTTTCTTTAATTCTGATGCATAGAATTTTGTATTGCTACTAAAAGAAGGAAAAACTTATTTCACCAATATCCAGTACCAATTCCAGAAGAAAACATGAGCCCATCTCTATATACATATAATGAGATGCAAAGAAATTAAATATTATGATTCTATTTCAATAAGGAAATGCATTAAGAATGATTTAGAATGTAATAATTCTATAATGAAATCAATTTAAACTAGTACTCATTATATCTAATAAAACTCAATGCTAGCTGTGTATGACCAACCTTTCCAAATAATGGAAATGCAAGTGCAGCATAAACAATAAACCCTTGTTGAAGATTTAACTCAAGAAAGTGTCACCTTTTGTCCAAATTCTCAACTCCCACTCATGAATTGAGTTGTTTTATGAGGAGAAATCTGATTACCAGAAGCCACCTAACTCAAGTGAAGAGAGTCTGACCTGATTCCTGTATTACTTTGCTAAACCTGTAGAAGACCTGAAGAAGATTCATCTAAGTTTGAATGAAGCCTTGTTCTTGCTGCTGCTACGCTGACCAAAATGCCAGCAGATCTTGGAGAATTAGTGACATAGATTTTGGTCTGGTCAACACTGAACTGAAGGCAGCTATATTGGTGTCCATATAATACAGTACAAGATAACATACAGTTGGTGGTCACCAAAGTACAGAAATTTCATGCAGCCCCACAAGAAAACTACTTCAATGGTTAGCTGTTAACCTATGAGAATGGAGAGGTTAGCAAAGCCGTAATGAGGCTACAGAATCTTCCACTATTTGATTGAAACATACATAGAATGTAATTACAACAATGATCAAGAAGCATCAATCCTAGCATCACTTCTACCATACAATAAAGTTAAATTACCTCAAGATGAAACAACATGAAGAGTCCTCAAGGACAGGGACTCATTCTCAGCATCAAACAACCCTCCAAAAAATAACAAATGTAAATAATAACAGGAGATTTAGGATGAAGAAGAACCACAAGAACAGTTCCAACTCAAAAGGAATGGAAGGAAAATAAAATAACCATCGACTTACTCCCAGGACAAACACAAAAACAATCCAATTTTGGTTCATCCATGGAAGAAGATGCCTTGAAGATGATAGGAACAGATGATTCGATCAATCGCCAAAGGCGGTGCCCCCTTGCTGCTGATTTGTCATGCTAGAATTGCTGCGGATCCCTTCGATCCGAGCTACAACCTCCGACATCGATGGCCGGTTTTCTGGGAACTGCACGGCACAGTCAATGGCCAGCTGCAGCAGCTGCATCATTTCCTCCACGTTCTGATGCCTCAGCAGTTCATGGTCAAATACCTCTGAGCTCCATTTCTCCCTAACGACCGATTGGACCCACCTGGGCAGGTCGACGCCGTCTTCGTTGTGGAGCGCCTGCGTCGGAGGCTTGCCTGTGAGCAGCTCCATGAGAAGCACGCCGAAGCTGTAAACATCGGCCTTTTGGGAGACCTTCCGGACGTCCGTGACCTCCGGGGCGCGGTAGCTGGCGGCGCGTTGATTGGGCATCGGGGTGGAGCCCAGGCTGCTCAAGCCGAAGTCGGAGACGCGAGCCTCGTTCGATTTCGAGAGAATGATGTTGGAGGACTTAATGTTGCCATGAGTGAGACCAGAGCCCTGCAGGTGTATGAACTCGATGCCCCGTGCTGCTCCAAGAGCAATCTCCAGCCTCGTCTCCCAGTCGAGAGGGGTGCGACCCGATACTTTACTTCCTGCCATGGAAGATGAATTGAGAGCATGAGTACTTAGCTTGACAATTCTTCGAACACATTAGAAGAATTCGGTATAAGGAACACCGACACTGTTCGAGGACATGCAATGCAATACCCAGGAAGAAGAAAGGGCTCACCGTGAAGGATGGAGGAGAGGCTTCCGTTTGGCACGAGTTCATGGACCAAAAGCTTCTCATCCTTGCTGTGGTAGTAAGCTTGGAGGGCCACCAAGTTGGGGTGGTCCATGGCGCCGATGGCCTCCATCCTCTCGCGGAACTCCTTCTCAGGGACGTTGACGTCCCTGAGGCGCTTTACTGTTACCACCATCCCCATCTCCAGCATCGCCTTGTATGTCGTCCCGGCCGTCCCTTTCCCGAGCACCTCCGCCGATGCCCGCAGCAGGTCATCCAGGTCGTATATCCCCTGAACCTTCCCGATGAACACCAGCTTCCGAGCGCTCCCACTCGCCCCTCCAGCCACCGCCGCAGGTAAGGCCGCCACCTGAGGTGGCCCAGCCACATTATCCGCCGCCTCTCGCTTGCCCCTCAAAGCCATCTCCGCCTCTGGCTGCATCATTTCCCCCGCCTTTGGTCCAGCCTCGTCCTTTTCCCGCTTTCGGCAGCAGAGGACCAGGAGGAGGACGAGAACCAAGAAGCCGATGGCGGAGCCAATGGCGATACCCGCGATCGCGCCGGCGGAGAGCTTCTTTTTCCCGCTGCTATCGACATTGTTGCTGGCGATCCACGGGGACGGCGCCGGCGAGGGCGAACCCTCGCCGAGACAGGGGGCGAGGGGCCGACCACAGAGGGAGTTTCCTTCGAAGGAGCTCGCGGGCAAACCGCGGAGCCTTGCGGGGATGGACCCGTTGAGCTGGTTGAAGGACACATTGAACTGGAGGAGACCCAGAAGCCGGAGGTCGGGGATCGCGCCGGAGAGCCGGTTGTGGTCGAGGAGCAGCGTCGAAAGGCCAGTGAGGTTGTTGAAAGCCACAGGGATTCCTCCGTCGAGGGAGTTACCCGCGAGGTTCAGGCGGACGAGCTCGCGGAGAGAGAATACGGCGGCGGGGATACCGCCGGAGAGGCGGTTGTTCTGCAGGTAGAGATATCGGAGGTTGGCGAGGGCGGCGAAGTCCGGTGGGAGGCTGCCGGAGAGGAGGTTGTAGCGGAGGCTGAGCGCGCGGAGCGCGGTTAGATTGGCGAGGGTGCCGGACGGGATCCGACCGAGGAGGTACGAACCGGGGAGGCGGAGTTCCGTGACGCGGTTGGAGGCGCAGGTGACGCCGTACCAGGCGCACGGTGAGGGGTCGGAGACGTTCCACCGCCGAGTGACGCCGGAGACGGCCGCGGAGAAGGCGATGAGCGCGGCGCGGTCGGAGGCGAGATCGTCGGGCGCTCCGCCGCCGAACAACGAGCAGAAGAAAGAGAAGAAAAGGAAGAGACGCAACAGCGAGCCCATCGAGCGGCGACCGGACGCCATCATTGGATGGTCAAGTCTATTGAAGCTCATCAAGCCATAAAGTAGTCTTCTTCCTCCCCTTCTCCTCCTCGAACTCGACGACGACTTCTACGCTCCGTCGGAAGCAGGCGAGCGAGTTAAGGGCCGGCATCTTACATTAAATAAGAGGAACACAGAAGAAAGGGCATAGGAAGCTAAAACAACGAATTAATTTGAATTAATTGGTCGGGAGAGGTTCCATTGTGCGGGACCCGGCGAGAAGGTCCACGTAAGTCCCGCGCTTTCCTATCGGTAAGATCAGGCCGTCGATTCCAGGGAACGCCTCGGAAGACTTATCCTGAGTTTGACACGTGTCAGGCATGGCTAGGCTTGGAAGACGTGGGATGTGGTTCTGGGTGTCCCGGGCGGCAGATATATTTTGTACCACATCATCGATTACCCATCGACGAACCTACTTTGTGATTGGTACTATGAAGGCTTTTCATGTGGGTCCCAGTCGCCGGCCCGCGTTCCCCGGGAAGTTAGGGGTAGAAATAGATTCGGAGGAGCAATCAATTGGGATTTTAATATATTATTTCCTTTTGTTTTCTTTTACTTGTGCTTATTTATAATTACAAAAAAAAATTATTTCATCAGAAATTTTTAGATTTAGCTGATAAGCATCAACATAACTTATCAAAAAATTTACAAATATATATTGAAATTAAAAATTGTTATTATTGTGGAGATTTTAATATTGAATATTGAATTCCGCTTAATGTTATTAAAATCCTATTAATTTTAAAAAGAAAAAAAAATTCTAGTAAATTTTAAAATAAAATTTTATATAAATTTGAAATGTATATACTGATGAATATATTATCTCACAAAATCGAAATATTATATCAATTTGCATAATTCGATTGACTAAAACATATTAGGTTCATTGTCCCTAGAAAAATGGGAATGGGTCGATATTTGAGTTATCAGGTGAAAATGTTGATCCAAATACAACTTAAATTGGATGATAATTCACATTTTACTGAACAAAGTAGTGACTATTGTTCCTTAAATCATGGAGATAATTCTTCAGGACTTCAAACTGCATCAAGAAATCATCCTTGTTCTTCTTTTTGGTCACATAAAGAGAGCCTTTTCTTCATCTTCCTTTTGCACTTTTTGCTTTTGCCGAAAGTGCACGCAATGAGCATGATAGGAGACGGTGAAGAAAGCTTCTTAACTTTTGGCAGATTGGCATGGCTGGATGGATATGGAGAGATACTTGGAAGAAGAAAATTTCTTTAGAACAATTATGGTGGACATGTTTCTTAAGAATAATAACAGAGAAATAGTCTACCATATGTAGTGGTGAGCCTGCATGAATTGACATTAGAATAGAGACACCTAAAATTGCCCGAGAGAGAGAGAGAGAGAGAGAGAGAGAGAGAGATTACAAGAATTTGTGTATAAAAGACAAGTTTGAGTTCATTGAACAAGGCAGTGTTAGGGGCTTCGCCATATGATTTTTTTTACTGCATGATAGTTTCTTGCATTGCAGGATTGATGCAAGTCATAATGGTTGGTCTAAACCTTTAACCTTTGAGGTATCTACAATCATCATCATCATTAGTAGATTTACTTTTCTAGTATCTTAGGTTTAGAAGATATTTATTCTATTTAATTATAAGGAAAGCTCATAGATACAGTTTAAATTATTTGTATGAATAAGGTCTCAAGTCGTATCTCTAAGTCAAAGCCAGTATCAAGTTACTATACCTAATAAATATTTCTCAAGGATTTGGATCATCATCATGGGGACAAGATGAACTTGATGGATGAGAACTACTTTGATGCAAATTCATTCTTTCACAAGTCAACTTACTACACCTAATAAGTCAGTCCTTCAAACATTATAGTTAATTAAAAAATATTGAAAATATAGGAGAGTTCTTTTAGTAAAATAGTGTATTTGCAATGAAGATTTGTTTTATATATTTGATATAGATAACTAAAATATTACTTCCTAAGCCCAAGAGATTCATGTCTAAGCTATGATCCAAATTAAGCCCAAGAGACATCTTGGTTAAGATATATCTTCATCACTAATTTTTAAGGCAACTTTAGGAGACCATTAGAGTCCTATTTGGAGTCTAATTAACATCCAAAAGCCTTTATTAAGTGTCATATATGGGATATGCTAGTTATATATATTTATATTCAAGCCATTTTTTGATAGCTATTGGATTTTATAGAGACAAGATTAAGCTTTCATCCCTCAATTTATTTGTTATGATAATTTTAAATATGAAGAAAAAAAAAAGATGAAAGTCCATGAAAAGTAGATTGTAAGCCACAAAGACATAGAAGAATACAACTTTTGTAAGATATGTGCAATTAAGTCTATTTTCTGTGTTCATTGTCTCCCTAGCTAGATGTTGATGCAACAAATTCATAACCTTGTTAATGAAACTAACACTAGAAAGACAATGTCTAATATATCCAACCATTTTTTACACTTAAAGTTCTCTAGCTTATGTTCCATCCAAGTTTATGTCTTCATTATGTTAAGCTTCAATTTCTTTGTCAGATGATAGAAATATGTCAAGTCCTGAGCCACAAAATCAATGAAAGTTTCCTTATTCTTTTCTGTGCTGAGTACCAGCTATACTCTTGCTGCCAAACACAACTCTATATATGTTTTATTTTAGTGGATTATTGCTGTGGTGAGGAGTTATCTGCACACCCACCCACATTAGCCTCTCTATATCTTGTTGTTCCTACCATTCATGTTGTCCATGATCTCCTTTAAGTTGACAGCAGAACCAACTCCAGCCATGAACTTGAGATTGAGATGCCACCTCTTGGACTCTACATAAATCTCTCCTCTTGTCCTCCACATGAACTGGAGAAACAAGTGCAGGAGGAGGAGAGACAAGGTCAAGGAGAAAAGTCTAAATGATCAAGAAGTAAATGCATGTGGATTTGCACCCAAGACAAGCAGTTCAGTAGTCATCTGCAACTAGTTCTCTTAACATTATTGATCAGGCTTACTGATTCGATTTGTACAGGATTCGTTCGACAGTGAGATGACGACCCATGCACTTCTTTTCGGTTCTAATTGAAGGTAGGAAGATAGGGCTAACCAGTACTGGCAGCAGCACCCACCACGTTAGCTGTAAATACTATAGCCGGAAGATGTTGGTGGGATTTCATGAATGCATTAATCAGGTCCCATCAACAGTTCAATTTGTTGGCCAGCAGATCAAACTTTAACTTAGCTTTCATGTTGTTTATGTGCATTCGCGTGCATGCTTGGTTGTGTCCGTGAAAGAGAGAGAGTGAGAGAGAGAGAGAGAGTGTGTGTGTGAGCAGTAAGCAAAAACATCATTCACCAATAAATACATAAATATATGTATATATATGGGATTCTTTTAATGCACTCAGCATTATGTCGTTAACAATGCAAGGAAATATGAATACCGTTTTTAACTCATATATAAAGAAAAAATCTATAGCCTATTTTATAGTGCTCGAGCTATTTTAATTCTTTAAAACCCTCCTCTCGCTAACTTAAGTATCGAAGAAAAATTATTAAAAAAATTTGATGGAAATATAATGCCCAATTTTAAAATATATCATAACAAATATCTCCCACTTAGTTTATGGATTAGAGAAATAAATTTAGTCAATTATGATCGATCGGTATAAATCTTAATTTGGTGGACACAAAGAAATGCACAAGCTATATCATAATATCACACTTGATCTTAACCAAACATATGGAATATAATATCATTATTTTGGTTTAAAGATATAATTGAAGGTTAAAAAAATCTTTCTATTCTTTCAGTAGACTACTTTTATTATTGGCATTATTATTTCTTAATTGAAAATTGATATGACGGTTTGTCGAATACATTACATAGGTAAAAAAGACTTCTTCAAATATTTGTATACTATTAAAAATGACAATAACAATTTATGAACAATGATAAAACAGAGGTTGATCAGTAGTAACTCCTAATGTATGAATAGAAAAGAATTATTATATAAGCAATCTTTGCATTAATCAATCCCAATCAACAGCCAATTGAGTTGAGTTGGTTGAAATGATTGAGTTGGTAAGCAAAAGGATATCCCATTTGCTTTGATTAAGATTCAAGCAATCCCAAGAACATGAATCTGTGTCACCTACCATGATACCCTGATCTCTATCACAGACCACATACCACCAACTCAAGAGACAAGAGCAACATGCTCAAGAAAAGATCCACCTCATAGATAAGAATAACTCACTAGAAAATGCAAACTACAATGTAGATTATTTGTTACATGGAATCTTCTCCTTCTGTCTGTTTTGTCAACTTTACTCATGCAAGGAAACCCAACATTATTTACTGAAAAGAAACATCAAAATAAAGAAGGTAAAACTTGGAGAAAGGTGCCAAAAGCAATTACCTCCACTTCAACTTAGTCTTTACCTGCAAATGGACCAAAACAACATATGTTAGGGGATTTGAACTGGATGATAATATGGATACAAGATGCATATATAGATCAGATTGAGCAGGAGGATGAGAGTGACCAGAATTTCCAGCTTTTCTGAGGAAGGCAGCCAAGAATATTATGAGTGCAACTCCTACAATGAGCCCAATGATGATTGCCACTGTTTTCCCAACCTGATCACCTGAAGAAAAGGTTAATTGCATTGGAAATGAGAAACTATTTGGAAAAGGTTTCCAGGAGACATTGTGAAGGTAACAGATAAAAGATGATATACCTCATTCAATTTGTAACATACTTATTTAATTTTTCAACTCCAAATTTTAAGATCTTAAGATACACAAATTTCAACAATACTAAATTTTGGCTGTACTCATTTATTGTTTTTATCAAGTAACTTTTATGTACACTTGTGCAATAAAGCCTTCTTTTTTTTATGTTTTATCTTGCTCTTTATCTTTTGTTGTCATTATATGTAAGCTATAGTATGTTTTATATAGAGATAGAGTTGAATTAGAATCTTAAACAAGGATTCCTACCATTTCAAGATAAATTTGGATGGTTCTAAAACCTCCATTCAGAAGTTTCAGAGACTAAAATTTACAGAAATATGGTTTTCGTGGCCACTAAACCAGCAATGTCCAGCAATATAATGAATTATTGCAGAAACATTGTCACTGTTAGGATTTATAAAGGTGGAGCAGGGGCTACAAATCCTTGATATGTAGAGGGAGAAAGGGATTAGATTAGAACAAATGTGTGGTCTTCCAATGTAGAAACTCTTGTGTGGACCCATCCATGCTTTGAATTGATCAAACTGCTACCAACCAACTTTTATGGTTCATCAGTCTAACTTTGAACAAATGAAACACCAACTCAGGGCAAATCATGTTAGGATGCACAGTGTGTAAACTCTGAAATGAGAGAATCAATGGACAAATTAATGTTAATGAAGTTAATAGAACTCTATACAATTAGTAGAGACTCCTTCAAAGGACTTCAATAATTGAATGATGATGTGATCTGAAGTTGATTTGTCAGAGGATGCCAATCTATATGGTCCAACTTCCCTTTTGGAAGGCATGAGGACTACTTAGAGTGGCAAACACTGTCCTATCAAAGAGAGCAATGAATACTGCAGTTGCATAAATTGATGAAGACTTAATTAATTTCCACCAAGTATAACTAAATCAATATATACAATCTAATGACTAAATCAAGAGTAGATAACTAAGATGCATCTGTATAGCACACATGTTACTTTCTGGCCTACTTATTAATTGTGATGGATCAATTTGAACCCTCCAAGCAAATTATTGATAGAACACAAGATCATGGATTCTCCACTAGGATGTTTGCTAGTGAAAATAGAACCATTTTATGGAAGAAGATAGTCATAGTATGATCTCATTGCTACATAAAAAATACTAACCAAAAACTAATTACAATAACTACAAGCAAGACAGAGACTATGCAACAAAAGTTGATAAGCTTAAGTCACAAACTATACCAAACAAGCAGATTTATGGTCAATTTTCATCACAATATCACATCAAAAGACCATTACAAGTATATAATTTAGTAGACTAAATTCCAAAAACAGCACAAGAAAGCAGAGAGTAGGAGCACCGTCGGTGATCAGAGGAAGGAGCGGTTACCATGATCGTTAGTATCGGAATGGTAGACTCCACTGGACCAGTATTTGGCGTAGCACTTGCCGAGGTAAGCATCGCCGGCGACGGCGAACGGACAGGCGGCCTTGAGCTGCGCCACCGCAGCCGCCACGCAGTCGTTGCACTGCTTCGCGCCCTGGTCCCCGACGCACTGCGCCATCGCCTGTACGGAGCCGGCGGCGCCGACCCTGTAGCTCCCACCGGTGAAGCCCGACGCCAGGCTGGCGAGCGCGGCGTCGCGCATGCCGAGCACGTCCGAGTTGTACCCTCCGCCGCCGGCGACAGGCCCGCAATTCTTGCGGAGGACGCTGGTGTCGGGCTTGCCGACGAAGGAGTCGTTGCCGTAGCGGAGGAAGCATCCGTTGAGCTGGACGGCGGCGCCGGCGGTGAAGGGGCAGAAGGCGGAGAGCTGGGACAGCGCGAAGCGGACGCAGGAATTGCAGTCGGAGGAAGAGAGGTCACCGCGGCACTGGAAGAGGCCGTAGACCGGGGAGGAGGCGGCGGCTGAGGCGGAGGTGTAGTTGGCGTAGGAGGAGAAGGTGGCGGCGTTGGCGATGGAAGACAGTAGGGACTCGACGTTGAGTTGGTAGGGCGAGTCGGGGGTGTACTTGAGCTGCGAGCACCCGGCATAGACGAAGCCAGTGTAGTCGTCGGCGACCGACGTCGTCAGGGACGCAAGAGAAGAGAATACAAGGAGGAGCAAGAGTTCAGACATCGCTTTCTATGTGTGTGTGTGTGTGTGTGTGTCTTCTCGTTAGTCCAAATGTTCTTATGCAAAGGAGTGAGAGAAAGTGTATGAAGGGGAAGGGTGAAGAGAGAAGAAAGGCCATAGTGGGGTTATATATGAAGAGAGGTGAGAGAGGGAATGAGATGGGTTGGGATGTGGTTCTGAGAACAAGAACAACAGCGAGGTGAATGTTCTCTGAGAGAGAAGGTAGGAGTGGTGGACTGAGGAGGAAGCACATATTGGCATCCTCAAAACTTCACTGGTCTGAGAGCATGGGGCGCATCCCTGCTCTCAGATGATCCTGACCATCCATCCAGTCAAATTCACATCAGTAATGTAGATTGACTTAAGGTCATCTTCATCTAATCTTTGCTCCTATAAGGATTTTAGTAATTTAAGCTTTATTAGCATGTAAGAGTATATCCTAATTTGAAATCTTGGAACATAATTCTAGCTAATTATTGATCCTAATTAATCAATCCATTCCTAGGCAGTTGTTCTGTAATTGATAAGCTCTGGTATAATGTACTTTGTGCCAACATATATTTCCATTTGCATTTTGGAGAATCCAAGTACTTATGAAGGCCATGCACAATCATTCAATCATGATGACTTTGGAAGGTCAAATAATATGTAGTGAATCACCTATGCATAGACTAAACCACTTAAATATGATGTTAAATGATGAATGGCCCAAGTACCAACTAATCCACAGAAAAAAACAACAATGACAAAGATGCAAGCATAGCCAAAACTTAGGTGTGTTCTTGCTGACACAGTGTTTTTGTGAGTGACATGGGAACCATTATAGAATGCACAACTTGGACAAAGATGATAGGCTTCAGAGACCCAGTTGTAGAACAACAAATTGGATTCTGCTTGGAGACAAACTGGAAACAGTGTGTGTTCACAAGATGAGGCTGGTGGTGTGCATCAGACAAGCTTTATGAAAGTTGACTTGGAAGTCTCTGTTGTGGTTGTGATGTTCTGGTCTTCTTTTGTTTTTGTTCTTTGTTGTCACTCTTGTTTCTCATATTCTCTTCTTTCTGGAACAAAAAGAAGTATGAGAATGCAGAGAAATAATATCATGAGTTTGATAGATCATGTGCGAAATGTTATGGCTACAACAGATATTTTGATATGGATCAGTACTTGTTGCCAAAGTCAAATTATGTATCATCATATGCTTGTGTTAGTCAGCATAAGAGCATGATCAACAGTGTTAAAAAAATATGATGCTTCAATTATCCATGTTATTTAGATTAGGTAGATGCTTGTAGACCAAGAAGTTTATTTTTATATTCTAGCCATTTATTTTTATCTCATCAAACACAATCTAGTGATGGCGTTTTGGGCTGCTATCTCATCCAAATTCAACAATTGTGGAGGATGTGTTCCTGCAAGAAGTGGAACAACATCTGATGCATGGTGATTGGAACTGCTATCTGCAACTCATAAGACATGCTGTAAAACATCAAGTGTTGCAACTTGAAAAGTGATCCAATTATATCAGGTTTGAGTGTTGTTGATAGTTCTGATACTTTTTTTTTTCTTTGGATCTTGCAATAGATTAAAAATGATAAATATGGATGCTTATGTTGAAGACTTGTTGTTACAATCTGCTGCATCATTGTCATCAGTGAAAAGTTTGTCAGAAATCCATGACATATGTTGTCTTCTGTGTTCTTGTTTGTCTTTTGAGGCAGAGCTTCCTTTGTCTCTGCTCTTTTTTAGTAACTTATGGGGTAAAAAACAATTGACATGTATGCTTTTCTTCCATGCAACTGATTGGAGTCTTTGGTGTATCAAATGTTTGAAGAATTTAACAGTGTTCTCTACCATAAACAAAAGCATTAGTGCCACAGTCCATGGTGGCGTTTTTGGAATTCAAACACTCCATGTTGACCAACATAAGTCAGAACCTGCTTGGAATTCCTCCCTGAAGGCATTCCAAAGCTTATAATAGCAGCACAAACTCGTGGTAATATATGGAACAGATCATAGTCTTCAAGATGTAGATGATGTGTTGGAGGGGTTTAGACGTCAAGTTTGTGCATTTACTTGTCTATTGCATGGGAGAATAAAATTCTCCTTAGCTCTTCTCTTGTATACTTCAAATGTTTGTCCTTGTAGATACGCTGTTCTAGTTTTCCAAGAAAGACAGGTTCTAGAACTCTGTTCATGGACGAAGACCATGTTCCAGTCTCCAACGTTTCAGAAGTGTTGGTCAAACGACAAGTTTCCTACTTCTTAGCCATGTTCAAACTTCATACCCTCCCCTCACCCCCTCTGGTATAAATGGAATGTGATTTCGAGAAACAGGGTCAGGATTTGGTTTCACTTCTCTAGCAATGGAGAACGTGCATCAGAAGAGTAGAGGAGAGCAGCGGGCACACCATGTCTTAGTTCACATCCAAGTCTGGAGGATCAAGCAAGAGCATGAGAAGATCAACAAGCATCAGATGCAGGCTGAGGTAGAGATGAAGCCTGCCTTCCGCCGGCGTTCACCGTCGCCGCTGGGCTTGATTCCGGTTGCGGGAAAGGATCAGATTGAGTAAAAACTAGTAGAAGATGTGCAGCAGAAGAGAACCTCTTCTGCTAGTTTCCTTCTCTGTGATCTGGTTGTGGCAACGCCTTGAATTGCACATTATGTCTCAATATTAGTGTTTTAATGGTAGCTATTAATGCACCAAATCAACAGATAATAATTTTCTGTCATCTTGCCAAATTCCAATGTTTATATGCAAGATCAGAAAATAAGAACTCTCCATTTTTTGTATATATTGGAAAAAGCCAAACTAATAAACATGTAAAAACACAAAGTTTATGCAATTGCACAGAAAAAAAGAGAAAAATGTATATTAATTATCAATGCAAAATACAGAAAAAAAAAGAAGTATGAGAAGCAGAGGAACATAAGAAAATTATTAGTACTAATATCCATTATAAACCTAATCTGAACTCTATTGTATATAACTAGCGGAGAGGGATCTAAGCCATCCAATCATTAGGTTCCACGTGTTCTCGGATCCTTCTTTGCTTCACATGCGGAGGTGTCAACCGTGTCCCTTCGTCGCGGATCCGAACCCGAACCCGAACCCGAACCCGTTTCAACGGTAATAAAACCCCGCTAGGGTTGGGCTTTCTCGCTGCCAGTCCCGTCTAAACCCCAACCTCTTCCTCTGCATGTACACACCCCTCTTCCCCGGCGCCTCTCTCCATCTCTTCCTCGTCGAGCTCCGGTTTGGACGAACCTGCCTCCGTTGTCGCAGGCAGCCGCCTTTGGTATAAAGATCCAATTTTGGCGCAGAAGAGAGGCGGGGAGCGTAGGTGTCGGCCATGGGATCCACGTCGAAGTCCGACTTCCAGGCGCTGCAGGAGCTCTTCCGTCCCCACATCGAGTCGTTCGATTACTTTCTCGATGAAGGATTGGAGAAGGCTTTCCTCTCCATACGGCCCATCGAGATCTCGGACCCTCACACCGGAATCAAGCTCAGAGATATCCTTTCTAAAATCCTCAATTTATTCGTTTGCTTGTTTCTTGTTAATTTTCGCCAATTATCGTGTTCTATGAATTGGTTTTTCCTTGACGTGTTTCGATACTTTCCTTGGAGAAGCCGCAGTTACTTCCTCCGATGAGGGACGGGCGCCTGAGCGAACCCTTGTTTCCCCACGAGGTGGGTGATTTTATGTTCAAGATTTGATCGTTGGTGTCTTTATTGATTTGTGAGTTAATCCCCGCCTCTTGGATGAAAGCAGTGTAGGCAGGCTAGGATATCTTATAAAGGAGAATTCAGGGCGCTTGTCTGTTTTCAGTATGACGAAGGAGTTGTTGTCAGAGAAAACATCAATTTTGGACATTTGCCAATAATGTTAAAGGTATGGTGTAATTTCTCTCTGCGACACAGCTATTCTCATATTTACTGAGAATTCCTTGGTTTCTGGTATAGCATGCACGCACACATATAAGCTTAGTCAAGAAATTGGAATTTATGATTTCTTTCTCTGAGACACGGCTATTCTCATATTTACTGGCGATTCGTTGGTTCCTCGTGTTGTGTGTACACACACATATAAGCCTAGTCAATAAATTGGAAGTTATGATTTTTCAGCTGTAGCAATTGTCTTGCACATCTATAAAGATAACAAAAAATGACTAGATTACATTGTTAGTGTTTTGTAATTTAATTTATGGACTTTTCAGTCCACCCAGTAAAACATATATTGTTAACTTAGCTTGAGGTGGATTGGAGGAAATTATGAATCTAATGAAGGTTAATACTTATGGACTATTGCAGCCTAAAATTCTTCAATTTTGAGAAAATTCCTTTGAGCGGAAATAGGGATGTTTTGTTGCATTTCAGCATACATAAGCAGGAAGGACCAAAAAGCACTAAAATACCCATATTGGGACCACTGCTTGTATGAAACTTTTAGTGGGTATATTTTGTTCATTCACTTGTTATAGTGTGCTTGCTATTGTGTACTGGTCATGCCATGCACGAAGAACTTATCTTCACCTGACACATATGCATCACCTGGAACATGATATACAAGTTCATATACCTTAAGATTGATATATAAGTTGCACTTGATGCTTTAATCCTTAATGAACAACATTGGTGTAATATTCATGTATTTTGTCCATTCTCAAATCAATCAGAAGGAAATGAAGCATGATTCAGGATGTGTTGCATCTGGAGAGTCATATCAGTTGTGAAATTCTGCATCTCTCTTCTCATCTCTGAAGGTTTTATTGATACCTATATCAAAGTAGTGAAATGAGGATATATTAAAAAAATAAAAAAATGAGTATATATTTTAATTATATAATCACAATACCTAAGTTGACTACAATACCATATTAAGGTTCTCCCTAATCATAGTTTACTTCTGTCAGCCTTTCTGTCTGTTATTTAAATTTTTGGGCAATATATCTTATAAAAAAATGATCTTGTATGTTATTAAGTGTTACATCGACATGTATTTGTGATTGCAGTCGAAACTCTGCCACTTACGAGGTGCTGACCCACAAAAACTGGTTGCCCACAAGGAGGAGGCAACTGAAATGGGTGGGTAGGTATATTTCATAATTTCATTGCATTGTTACTTAAATGGCTTATTAAGAAACCCTTTTGGTGTTGAGAAAGGAATGTGCACTGAATCATTGAAATTTCTAATTCTAGCGGTTAGATTTCCAGTTTCTTGCTTAGTGATTATGAACTTTTGAATGGTCTGACACTGTGCGATCCTCTATAAATGAGCTTTTGTTGGTGGCACCTCAAAGTGGGGGAGATTATGATAATATAGACATCAAGATATGCCTACTAATGTTGGGTTTATGCAATTTTGGCTCCACACAGTCTTGGGTCTTCAAATTATTGGGTCGGTAGTTCTATTGAGTTGGATCATGACAATTGATATCAAAGCGTATCTACCACCATAAGATACACATCTTTTACCAGGGAATAATTAACCCCATATTGGGCATGGGAGGATGATTGTGATAGTATATAGTTTTGGGTATTCTTATTAGGGTTTTGAATATCAGTTCGTACCGGCGTACCAAGCTCTGCTCGGTACGGTATGTGCACTTAGGGTGTACCGACAGTACACCCTAGAACTTCAAAATATATCTCACCTACCATGCTAGGACGTATCGATTGGTACACCTCAGTAACGATTGAAATCCGGGGTGGTACCGGTCGGTACGTCTCGGTGCTAGTCAAAATATTGGTATTGCCCGGTAGAGGGCGGTTTGCGTACCGGTATCCTCTCGGACTGATATGTATTGGGCGGTACACATCGAAATTGAAAACCCTGATGTTTATTATCATTAACCTAGGCTTGAGCAATTTTTAGGCCACTTGCTTATAGGTATCCAAGATTATGCATAGTAGTCTTTTTGTCGGATTTGACACGTAGAGCAATGCTTTCTATGTTGATACTGAATGTATGTGTAGAATCAAAATTCGATGCTTCTTTCTTAGTCACTTTGTTTAGAAATTAACTGCCCACTAGTTTCATTATGCTTTGCAGACTTAACAATTAATATTTGATCTGTTGGTCAGCAGAATGTGATCTTTTCTTTGGTATCTTACCATATTCCTGTAGTGAAATAGCTATGACTTCACTTGATCCGTTTTTTTTTTCTTGTTTGCTGAACAATTTCTGAAATGTTTTTTGGTACTCCGTAGGTATTTCATTTGCAATGGACTGGAGCGTCTTGTGCGACTTTTAATCATACAAAAGCAAAACTACGTGAGGCATTTGTTAACAAACTCTTAGATGTTATGAGAATCAGTCTAATCCTTCAAGTTCTTTCTGTAATTAAGAAAAAAAATGAGTGTGTTAGGAATTGTGTGATTTACTCTGCACTCGTATCTGTTTTTTGTAGATTGCGTATGTATGATTGTTCCTTTTGTGTTTCAGCCAATGAGCATGGTGCGCAAATCATTTCGTAATCGAGGACCTGGATACGGTGATAAAGCTGTCGTTATGAGGTGCTAACTTTGGGTTTTCATTCCATTGTGTTCACATGCATCTTCACATTGCTCTTCTGCAAATGCTTTCCACAAAATTTATTTGAATCAGTAACAAGTGCTCTTAAACGATTTTGCCATTTTTTGATATCCTTATGATCAGGATTCTTTTGGTTCATGTATATTGTTTCATATGATATTTAAATTCTGCAAAGTTCTTATGTTCTCATTAATAAATATAGATATCAATCTTCTTTAACAATAACTTTTCTTGCATGCTCTTAGAAGATAACATTTATGGCGAGATCATTGGGCGATTGAAAGCGTGACAACATTATTGCTTGAGACTTTGATTCTTATCGCCACTTCTGAACCAACTTATTATAGCATACTTGAAAATAACCTGAAAACCACCTGTTATACAGATACTTGAAAACATTGACTGGAAATGTAACTCATATTTGTTTATGAAATTGAGACCTTGAATTTACACACAAATTGAAGCGAGATATTGTGAAGACAAAGGATTGCAGCATACTACCTAGATTTTGATCATGAAATTGATATCAGGAATTATGCAAGACTATTACAAAAACACTAGTTATATCTTAAAATTATGTTGATCTGGTGATGAATGTGATATAATTTATGTATGGAAATAGGCAGAAGTTCAGAATAAATAAAGTCACTGATGTGGCTTGAACTAAGGTCTTGGTGTAGCTTGATTAAGTTTTAATAATGTTGTAATGGTGAAAACTTTCTGAACCAACATATCTAGAGATAGTGATACAGCATGAATAAATTGAAATTACTGGAAAAAATAAAACAAAAAGAATTTCATTCATGGAAATAATTATAGATATATTTGGATGAAATGGTGTAATCATTTAAGATGGTCTGAATTTATTAAATTATTTATTTATGAGCTTGAAAGACATGTTTTATTTATTTGATCAGTGAAACCAAATGCCGTGGAGGAACTGAAAAATATATTTTGCTAGAAACGTTATGGACTAATTTGTTGATTGTTGTTTTATTTGGCTTTGCTCTGATGGAGTTTAATGGTGGCAAATGATCCTTGTAGTTTAAAAAATAGTTGGGAACAGTGGTTTGTTGTTATTATCTTCATATCATTGCTTGAGGCACAATCACATCTTTCAGTTCTTCTGACATTCACTGCAATATCATGCACTGTGGCTTGCTGAAAATTGAACTCTCATTGAACAAGGTGAACAGTTGCCATTTTGGTCTTGGTATTATGAGAAATTGATCTTTGGCATGCAGGAATCCTCTTTTTATGGAGGAACAAGGTTTTGTAGGATATAAATTATCATTCACTATACTCTTATGTCTTGTAGATGTGTTCGAGAAGATCAATCTTCTGTTACACTTAAGTTGTATTACCTTGAAAATGGAAGTGCAAGACTTGGATTTTGGTAATAATTTATATGTAATTGTTTAAGTTAATTTACCCAAATTTGGACTGTTGATACTAATTTATTTTATTTGATATTTTAGGATAAGAGGAAGGGAATTCTTGCTTCCTGTTGGGATTGTTCTGAAGGTGAGCTACCATAGACTTTAATCGCATATATAAATTGTATTGTCTTGTAACTCAACATATTTACTTTTAAGACATAAGAAAGATGGAGTTATCTACAAGTAATGAATGGTTGGAAGTTTTTCTCTGAAAGTTTTATGTGATAGCAGGGAAAGTGATTCAGGGAGTTTAGCTTTTGCTTTATTTTCATCACCTTGAGTACAGATCAGGAGGTCATTGCAACTGATATGGATATGACAAGACTGTGGAGGCATCTTTAGGTATCTTGAAAAGGAAAAAGAAATAAAAAAAGGAATGCAATGACAAGCATTGAAAAATACAACCAAATTGTTACTATCCTTATAAAGAACAGTCTGATCCTTAAGTATGATCTTATATAACTGTTGCAGGAATGCCCTCATTTGGTTTTACTTTTTAATAGATCAGTTAAACTATCATTGTAACTCTATGAATTAAACACTATGTCGATACTAATCTTATGTAGCCAGATAATTAGACACATATTCGTTAATAAGTGCAAAGTCATCTGAAGTTCAGGGCTCGTCTGGGTGGAATAATATCTACCCTGATTAGATCATATTGAAATTCAAACATACATTAAATTAATACATTTGAGTGCTCATAGAGTCTGTTGGGATGGGCATGTACATGTTGTAGTCCCCTTTATCTTGGTTTTTCTTGGCTACCTACTTCTCATGCAAGTATGACAGTGTTGCTAGTTGACATTTCCATGTGTATCATGAAGGTGATTGCTGTCTTATACTTTATTGTTGCTTATGCCTTATCTCATACTTTATTGTTAGATGAAAGGTTCACAATTTTGTACTATACCGAAGTATCGAAATTAGCTTGGTTTGGTATGGTACGAGTATATCGAGTGATACGCTTTGGCATATCGCTCGATATATATATACATACATACACATATATATATATATGTATGTATATATATATATATATATATATATATATATATATATATATATGTATGTATATATATAAGTTAAAAAATTAAAAAAAGGGCTACGACGTCTCGTTTCTTCTCCTTGCGAAGCCTCGGCGATAACTTCCTTGCGCGTATAACATCGTCGAGGCTTCTTCTCTCGTGGATGAGGAGAAGTCACCGACGACACTGAGGCCTCGTCGCCTCAGACGAGGCGGAGGCGACATCTCATCTGTGGCGTCTGACGACGGATTGAGATCGTCGAGGGAGAGTGGCGCCGGATCTCTAGGTTCTCCCTTTTCTTCTCCCTTCTTTCTCCCTCGGCTAATATCGCCCCATAGTAGGCGGCGATGGTCAAAATCGACCGTCATCGTTCGATTTCTCGTGGTAACGGGGCGGAAACAGCCCAAATCGACAATACTGCCCGGTAGCAGAGAGTCCGTGTATTGGTCTGCAAGCGGACCGGTACGTACCATCCGGTATGTACCGTCCGGTACGGGCAGTATCATTCGAAATTAAAAACCCAGATTTAAATTGAAATTGTCTTCTTTATCCCCCCATTTTTTTAATGCAAATTCTCATTTTTTTCTTTGCTTCCTTAAATAGTTCCACTACAACATAGTAAGTTGGTTTTTGACAGGCTCTCATTGACACAAATGATCATGAAATCTTTGTGAGCTTGACATGCTGTTATAATGATCGATACCAAAGAGAAAAAGGTGCAGTTGCCACTCAACTTATTGGTGAAAGAGCTCAAATAATTCTTGATGAAGTCAGAGATTTGTCCCTTTGGACTCGCTCTCAGTGCTTAAAGCATATCGGTATGCTTTGATTCTTAGAGCATTTGTTCAGGTTTGTGCTTTTAAATAATTTGTGCATGTTCTTTGTAGGAGAGTACTTCCGACCTGCCATGAATGGATTCGAAACTGAAAGTCATACAACTGTAAGTTCAACTATATTGCTACCATCCACACCATTCTTTATGCTAGTTATCTTTTATTTTTGTCTTTATTTTTTGGCCTTGCTAGTATAAACTAATTTGGTTAAATGCCTATACTATTTCCTGTAGGTCGCAGAAGCTGTTCTTAGAGACTATATCTTTGTTCATCTTGCAAGCAACCATGACAAGTTCAATTTACTAATGTTGGTTCATACCTCTTACTGTCATCCTATATTGTCCAGTGTGCTTCCTCTTGTTCTGGATTTTTCTTACCAAACAGTATGAACAAGTATTTTGCCTAATCCCGTGCTTGCTTAGATTTCTGCTGCAGAAACTTTATGCACTTGTGGACCAAACTGCTGCACCTGATAATCCTGATGCATTGCAAAATCAAGAGATTCTGTTGCCTGGGCATTTGATAACCATTTATCTTAAGGTTTGCTGCTTATGGATTTAAGTTTCTATGTGAATTATCATCTATTAGTACTTTATTCATGTCTTGATGCCGTTAAGTTGGAGCTTTTTTCATCAAGCAAAATGCCATTAAGTTAGTAACTTAGTACTTTATTAGTACTTTCTTCTCGACTTAGCTGATGCTTAGCTGTTTACTGATAGGTCTATATGCTGATACTGATATAATTCACTCTTCACGTGGAAGATCCAAATGAAAACTGGCTTTCTTCATAAGCATGGGATGAAAGAGTAGCTTTGTCTCATATGATTGATTCATGTATTACTAGGTAGATTACATGTGCTTATGCAAGTTGTTGCAAGTAACAATTTAATAGTAATTCATCGACAACAATTGGAAGAAATTTGTACATCTAAATAGGAGCTACGTCAAAGCAACATATACAGTAAAGCATGGTATGCAGTACCGAATGGTACCGCCCAGTACGGGCAATACGTACCGGTCTGATGGCATACTGGTATGCGGATCGTCTGGTACCGCTATAGTGCTGCAGTATTATACCGTAGCAGTGCTATAGTGCTACAGTGTTATACTGTAACAGTGCTATAGTAATGAAGAAAATATATAAAATTGTTTGGTACACTAGGGTGTACCGCTCGGTACGCCTTGGTGTATTGCTCGGTATACCGGTATCGTACCATACCATACCGAGGCAACCTCGAAATATCGGTACGGTACGGTATTGCATACCTGACAGTAAAGCAACATATATAGTCTTAGCTTAGACAAACAAGCTCTTGTTTCGTTGTAGATTGTAGAATGACAACAGGTTGTCTCAATGAAACTGATTACAAAACTATTGTTTTCAAAATTTAGCTTTTTTTAATTGCTTCATAAATGTCTCCATTTGTTTGACATTGATGTCCTAGTTGAGTTGTAATTGATAATACAACTTAATTTTTGAGCCACATCATGTGGATTACCAATAATTGTACTTTGAATGTACAAATAGTACTTTATGTAATCATTATGTGCAGGAGAGACTTCAAGATTGGTTGAAGAAGTCAAAACGTCAACTTCTTGATGAGACAGCAAAGAAGGAAAAAAACATCGATATCAAGAATCGTATGTTAGAAACATAATTTTGCTTTGATTTATTCAATTTGCCTCTTTTACATTGTAAACTATAATCCAACAAACATACTTTTTGAATATTCATGCCATTTGAAACAATGCTTATTTTCCTATTCATGCTAAATAATGTTATTTTTGGATGTTTTATCATTTATTTGGTCAGCAAGTTCAACTTGCATTCGGAAACAGAATATTTTGCACATGGGTGGTCATCTTGTTGTACTCATGCATGTATTATGACATTCTTATCTATTCTGCATACGCCAGTGGCCCAATATTTACACATCAAATATGGACTATGACTTGAGATTGTATATAAGTGATTATATACTTCTAAAAAGAAATTTGTGGGAACTCATTTTGAGGGAAAAATCTACATTTTTTCATGTTTTCATTTTTGGGTGTAGTGGTTATGATATAAAAACAAATGTGTGCCATCATGCGGTCTAATGCAAATGGGGTTGGGTTAACAGCCAAAATGTGTTGTTTCTCGTGAAGCAATAATGGCCGTAGATCTTTTAGGGTGGAGGTTATGGTGAGGGAGCATTCAGAATCCACAAGGATATTCTGAACGATGGAAACTGTGTTATCTCAAATACTCTCACTTTGTATATGGGTAATCATATGAGACAGTATCCAAGTCATTACCATTTCTCTCAGAGTACACCTGCACACTTAGATTTGGCTCCTCAAAAGAAATGTTTAGGAGTTTCTCATGGTAACTTATAGGTTAAGGTGTTACAGATGTACTTGAACGGTAATTAGAGATCTTACACTTGAATGTTGCTATGTTTTAGACACATTTATACTTTTCATATATATGGATTAGTATGGTAGCGGTACCTACGTATGACACATGTTGACTTGAGAAACTTCCATAATGTGCCACATAATGTTGACTTGTATTATGTTTAGTGCATTGTTTGCTTATGTTGAGACATCCTAGTGGTTAGTGCATTGTTTGTTGCACATTACATGTCAAGTTCGAGTGCATGTTTGAGCATCTTGTATGGTGTTTATTGTAATTAATTTTTTAATAAAACTCGTATTATGTGGCACTTCTTGGATCCAAGTAGGCTGTGGTATATCAACCAAGACATATAAGTCCAATATAAACTGGTACTGACTATTACAATTTAATATAGGTCAATTCTCTGTTTTGCGCAGGTGGTTCCAGAACTAGATTAGTGCCTCTAGCGAGATTTCTGGCTTTGTCCATATACACCATCTAATAGAGAATATTACATATGGACTCATCCATTGTGCCTGGCCTATTTAACAATACTATCACTCTATCAGTTTTACCAACATCACATGATATGGGCCCATTTAAGTCCCATGCCACTAATGTGGTTTTAGGTTTATAAGGAATGCCATTCTATTTTTGGTACTTGATCATATATAATTTAGTAATTATGTTTAGTATTCTTAACTCTTCATCTACTATTCTGTTTCAAATTGAAATATTATCCTCGTGATTTTATTATGTGGTCTTAAATGCTATGGTTATGATAAAAATTAACTTTTTTAGATCAAGGCACTTGAGTGGGCCAGTAGCTTTTCTGAGTGTAGAGACATGGTATGATTCAATATTTTAGGACTTAGTTCTCCAATTTGATGCTAGTTCAAATTAGGAAACGCATCCAAATAGCAAAAGTAAGGAAGAAAAAAAGGAATTTGATTGCTGGCACAGGTAATGAACTTGTTTGATAGGTTGTTGTAACTGGTATCAGATTGGTTATTAAACCTTTTCTTGTAAGATGGCTGCATTCGTTTGTCCTCTGAGTTTTTTGTGCCAACTATTCTTTGCCTAAGAAAACCAATTTTTAATTAGCACAATTTTAGGATGAAAAATAAAATAAAATGTGTTATAATTCTTGTAAATTTTCAATTACCATATTAATAATTTCTTTGTCACTGTAGAAATTTTTGAGCTTTGTCCTTGGAATTTCTTGTTCCTTCTGTTTTGGAGTCAAATATTTTGAGAGCTTGATCCCTTTGTATTTTCTTGAATCTGCTTTACTGGACTTTATCTTTTGACTTTTGGTTCTCAGTATGTTATGTCCAACATTCTTTAATTCTAGATTCTATACGTCTGCTTCATTGAACTATTTAAATTTCGCAAGGATATTGATACAGTTTTCTTCACAGAGCTTTTGACTAGGTAGAACTTATGCCCTGTCTCTATGTGATCAGACTTTATGCTTTGATGCTAACATTTTATATTTACAAACCAGTAACACAGGTTAAGAAGTTCTTTAGTCGTAGCTCTGCAACTATTGGCAGGGCTATTGAAAGTATGTTAAAAATCGGAAGGCTAAATACAGCATCCGGTTTAGATTTGCCTCAGGTGCTTACTTTTGGCCATCATTGCTAAACACCATTTTTTATGTTAAATCTTGTTTTGTTTGACATTTCATGTTAATTTTGGTATTGTAAATTCTATTGTGAGATGAGACCTGGTGGTCATGTGACTTGTTTTTTGTCATTGCTTTTATCTTAAGGACATTAGACTAAGTACATACATTTATGCAAAAAAAAAAGTCATTATGGCTCTTTCATCTTCACCTTTTAGGAGCTGTGTGCCATCAATTGTGTCATCTTGATTCTAGAAAATAGAAATTTCTATAGGTTGAGCCATTGAGGTCATCAGTCATATAGATCACTTTCAAATGCAAATGGTATTATGATAGACTATAAAAGGTGGTGAGTTGATATACTATTCTGTTGATAATTGTTTGTTTAGATTAAAAGACTGTCAAATTATTTGGGAAAAGAAGAATTATCAAGGGATGTGGTTTAGTCACATAGAAACTAATCTTGTTCAGGTTTCCTTTTTTAATTAGTATAGTAATAAATGTGAAGTATTTGACATCTAGTAATGATTTTTTTTCTCATTGGATGTTTTCTTTTTTTAGTACATACTTTATTCGGTAGTACAACAACAACAAAGTCGTAAGTCTCAACTATTTCGGATCGACTATATGAGTCTTTTATTGCCATTAAGATGATAAAAGTCATATGTTTAATTAAGTTAAGAGTATTCAAATTTTTATTTATAATTTTTATTAAATTCTTTTTAGGTCTTCCTCTCTCTCTCATTAGACCACCCAATCATTTTATATCTTTTGACTATTGCATTTATAGATTTCCTAAGCATATGTCTATACCATCCTAAACGATCCTCTCATTTTATCCCTTATCGAAACAAAACGTAATTGTTCACGAATAAAAACATATCTTTTCCTATCTTTTCTAGTAACTTCACACATCCACCTCAATATTCTTATTTCAACAACATATTTTTGTATATGTTATTTCTTAACTGTTCAACACTCCAATTTATAAATCATGTTGGTCTAACAATTATTTTATAAAATTATTCTTTTAATCTTAAAGGTATTTGATGATCCTCCTGATGCATCTCATCATTTTTTTAATCATCCTGTTTTAACTTTATGAATAATATTTTTGTCAATCTTTGTTTTGTTGACTAATTGATCCAAGATACCAAGACTTTTACCTAATTGAACTTCTTGTCCATCCAACCTAATTATATCTTTTTGTCTTTGTTTTTTCCTAGTATTACTAAAATTGCATTTTAGTTTTAGTTCTGTTTAATAATAACTTTAATTTTTAAAGATTGCCTCAATAACTCGTGTTTAGAATCAAATCTGTTTAGACTCTCATTGACTAAAACAATATCATCAGCAAATAACATATACCAGGGAGTCCTATACATTAATAAATTCATCCATTATTAATGTAAAAAGATAAGAAGTTAATGCAGATCCTTGATGTAATCTTATACTAATAGAAACTCACTAAATACACTCCCTATAGTTCTAACACTAATAGTTATATTATCATACATATTCTTAGTAGGATCAATTTAATTAGTGGATACATAATTCTTTTTGAAAACCCACAATAATAAATATGTATGTAGGAATTCTATGGTAGGCTTTCTCTAAATCAATAATAATCATATACAAATCTTCTTTTTTTCTCTATATTTTTTTATTAGTTATTTTAATAAATAAATAGCTTATATTGTTGATCTTCTAGGCTTATTTTATACAGTGAATGTTAAAAATTGCAGTGAACATATTTTGTCTATGCAGGGATATCTTGGTTGTGTGGGTAATTGATGAATCCTATAATTTTTACGTTTTGTTTGGTTTTTTATATCTTAAATACTGGTATCTTGTTTTCAATTTGTAGAGAGAAGGATATCTTCTTTTTTTCTCTATATTTTTTTATTAGTTATTTTAATAAATAAATAGCTTATATTGTTGATCTTCTAGGCTTATTTTATACAGTGAATGTTAAAAATTGCAGTGAACATATTTTGTCTATGCAGGGATATCTTGGTTGTGTGGGTAATTGATGAATCCTATAATTTTTACGTTTTGTTTGGTTTTTTATATCTTAAATACTGGTATCTTGTTTTCAATTTGTAGAGAGAAGGAATGAGCATTCAGGCAGAGAGACTCAACTTCTTTCGATATCTCTCACATTTTCGTTCTGTTCATAGAGGTGCTTCTTTTGCAAAAATGCGCACTACTAGTGTACGGAAATTGCTACCAGAGTATGTTATCTCACTTTTTCGTCTTTGGATGGTTGCAGTTGTTTTCTATATATGTCATATTTTGTTGTCCGATTTGTAGGTCTTGGGGTTTTCTTTGCCCCGTTAATACACCTGATGGGGAGCCTTGTGGTTTGCTAAACCATATGACTTGTGCTTGTCGTAAGTTCATGACATAAACCACATTACATGTCTTCTACAATGTCAAGTTTCTAAGCATCAAATTTGTATCTTGATCTACCATTTGTTTGTGGCTCAATTATCCTTTAGCAGACTACTGGATGTCTATCCTTCAATTTTCCTCTTTATGCTCTGACCTGAAGCAGTAGTAGGATGTCATGTTAACATTATTTTGATGCTTGTTCTACTAACCAAGAAAAAAAAATCAGTTGAAGTGGTCTATAGACTTATACCGACTGGTATTTACTAGTCTGATCATCAGTATTGGACCACATGATACAAGACGTATGGGTTTGTATATACAGGCACAACACTGGTCTGACTTGTTACCTGAGTCAATATTGGACCTAGATTTAAATTCTTACCACTAACTGTTTTATTTGTGTTGATCTTGAAAAAACATAATTAATCTTTCAAATACCATTTTTTGTTGTAATTTAACACTATAATTGTGCTTCAGGTGTTGCATCTTTCTATGATTCAGAAGGAAGAGTCAAAGATTTTCTCAAGATAAGAATGTCCATATTATCTGTTTTGGTTGGGATTGGGATGACACCATTGCTTCCTAAGCTTGAGCGTGCTGGGCCACCAGAAGTTCTTCATGTTCTTTTAGATGGATGTGTTGTAGGATCTATTTCTTCTGTTAAAATAGAGGAAGCAGTTGCACATATTCGGAGACTAAAGCTGTCTGGCATTTGCGGGGTCTGTCTTCTTGGCTTTGTTACTTATATGCTTGTTTGGATCATTTTATATTTTGATCATGGTGATTGCAGATTCCTGAAGATTTGGAGGTTGGATACGTACCTTTAAGTTTTGGTGGGGCATATCCGGGCTTGTATATGTTTACTAATTCATCCAGATTTATCCGGCCGGTTATAAATCTTATCCAAGTGACCGATGGAAGTAAGAATATTGAACTTATTGGGCCATTTGAACAGGTAAATAGCTAAGTTATTGTTTGTTTCTGTAGATTTCTGAAAATGTTCTCTTTATTTTAGATGTGTACAATGAGGACTAAAATATTTATAATATTCATTCATAGGCATTTATGGAAATAAGATGTCCTGATGGTGGAAATGGTGGAAGAAGGGAATTCTTTCCTGCGACGCATGAGGAAATACACCCGACCGGAATACTTAGTGTGGTTGCCAATCTTACACCCTGGTCTGATCATAATCAAAGTCCCCGAAACATGTACCAGTGCCAGGTCCTCTTGTTACTGACGTGTGAGCTATCATTAAATTGAGTTGTTTTTTGACTCACCCTGATGTCCCCTGTACTTGCTTTTTCAGATGGCAAAACAGACAATGGGTTTTTCTGCCCAAGCTCTGCAATATCGTGCAGATCTGAAGTCATATCATCTTCAGGTTTGTCCATATAACTTTACTTCAAATTGATGTTATATCTGACAACAAGAGGAACTGCATTATTCACTAAGAGCCATAATCCTAGTTAGAACTAATTGGTTCTGTCCTTTTTGGTCAGCATACTTGAGAATATCAAGCATAGCAGACTGAAGCCTAGTTCCACTGTTTTCACACCATAGAAATTTTATTTGATGGCACATTCCTCTGCTCTATAGTGGTTGAGTTATGTGCATGGTGCTTATCAGGGTATATGGCTATAAACTGAAGTAGCTTAAAAGTTCATGGTGTGTAGGGTAGAAGGTATCTGTGAAACCATTTTCTCCTAGTTAAATGGCATATTAAGCTGTCCACAAACTCACAGGTACAAAACATTAAATAAAGAAAACTTTTGTAAGAGCCTTTTTTGTCTTGTGCTCTATGGGCAGCATATTACAGAGATGCAAGTCTTGCTATGCTTCTGAATATTGGAGAAATTCAAGTAGAACACGCAATTCATTATGTTCAAAAATTATAATGATGATCTGTCATTTTTTCTTAGCCTTCTAAATTTCTTACGACACTATACTCAATACTTTGTTGTGGTATCAACATCATATGTGTTTATTTTAACTGTTAGTTATTGGATAATACCTTCTTTTCCCTTTGTTCATTCTATTTTTAATGTATCACCATTTATTTTTTCTCTTGGAATTTTGTTTGTAGACTCCTCAATCACCAATTGTTCGGACTGCTTCATACAGTAAATACTGCATGGATGAATTCCCAACAGGCACAAATGCAATTGTTGCTGTCCTGGCTTACACAGGGTAAAGCTTTTAACTAAATAAATGTTTATATTTTGTTTATTCGTAGGTTAGTGCTTAAGCTATTTCCCCTCTTTCTTTTAGTTATGACATGGAGGATGCCATGATCTTGAATAAGTCATCTGTTGATCGTGGGCTATGCCGTGGGCACATATATCAGGTTAGTCTCATTCATCTTCATTTTTTTTAATTTTTTGACTTACATGTTTTATATGACCTTATTTGACATCTATCATATGTATTTTAAATCCATTTATTATATGGACCTCTTAGTCTCTTTTGAGGGGACTATGGTTTTCATCATTCCGTACCCATCAAGATTCTTGTTTCTACTATGTGGCTTGTAATAATCAAATTAGGTATTTTTTTTATGCCCTCTAGCAATATAAATAGGCTAAAGCACAAAGCAGTTGGTGAGCAAGGATGAAAATGGTGTATCTCTAATACATTATGAATGAAATTTTTAATGCTTGTAGAACCATGTTATAAAATTTTGTTATTGAACCCCATGCTGGTTGTTAGCTAGAGTGGTTGGCACATACCGACAGTGATTTAAAAAGCGTTAGGTGCCAAAGTCCCAAAAAGCCTGAGGTGCTAGACGCTTTGAAATATAAAAATATAAAAATATATAATATAATTAATAAATATAATTATTTAAATAAAAATATGATATTAAATTAAAAATCTACTGTTAACAATATATTACTTACTGTTAACAGTAGTTAGAGGGAGAGAAAATATTTGTTATTAACAACAGAGGAGGATAAAAGGGTCACTGATAGTGGAAACCGATAGTGAAAAGTGGCAACAATAGCGGTGAGAAGCTGACAACGGCTGATATTTAGTTTAAGATAGCCGTGGCAGCATTGTGAACGACAGCAATGGTAATGGCGAAAGCTCTAAAGGGCATCCGTCGGTGGTGGAGGAACCTGCGGTCCTCTCCCTCGACAATGGAAGGAATTGCACACGGAGCGACGACAGAAGGAAGCTATGGGCTCTTGCTAGGGCATCGGACCCATCCGTCGGCAATAGAGGAGGGCTTGGTCTACTGCGTTTATGGTGGAGGCAGCGGCAAAAAGCGTTGGCAGTGGAGGCAGAAGCAGCGTAGGGTTGGCTTGGGGTCGTGCGGGCGTGAATGGTGGCTTTTGAGGGTAAGAAAATACGTAACTAACTACTGTTGAACCGAACCAAACTTAAAAGTATGGTTCAGTTGCCTTATTTGAATCGAGCGCTCGCCCAGGCAGCACCTCATTGAAGCACGCTGCCTAGTCTACGCATGAGGCGCTTGGGCCTCATTGCATACCGACATGCCAATACATTGCGTGCTGGCATACTAACCAGCCTTGAAAACCCCTGGACCAGACCTGAGACACTGCAAACGCCAATATTTGTTGTCTGGTTCATTTTGGTCCACGTGGTTTTTCAAACCATATGTAGAACCATACAGAGTATCAAAGAGATGGAAGCTAAGAACATGCCAAGGATATATAAGTTTCTGTTGCATTAGGGTTGGCAACTGTTTGTGAAAATGTGCATCCATGCCGTACTGACTGGCATGCCACTGTTCTTTGAAAAGAGTAGAACAAAAAGGGGGGAAATTAGCTAATGGTGATGATGGAACTGAGAACAGGAAAAAAAAATATAACCTTTATCGGAGCCATTTCAGACTTGGGTGACCAGCGTTCAAGTCACAGAAACAACCTTTCTACTTACTCTTGTATGGCTTACAAATTGTAGGTCTCCTGCACTGATGAAAGTCTCCACTCTTTTGCCCTTGGGTTTGCACTATATTATATAGTATACTATGAAACAACAATTAAATCCATGTACACATTATAATTAGTTGCTTCACTTTCAAGATCTGCAAACAGTAGTAGAAGTTATCCAGCATAAATGCTATTGTCTATGGGAGGATTTCTAAAAGTTAATTGAGTGGCAACATTATGGGACACTTGTTTGGTCAACTCTATCTAGCATTTCTTTTCAATGTATATATTGCTTCTTCGATTTTGGATGTTAATGATCTTGATCAATTGAGGAAATTATTTGAAAGGGACCTAACACCATCTTAGAAGGAGGGTGCTTGGCCAATTAACTAGTCTTCTGTTTGAAATAGTAAGGATCAGAGATATCTTGTGTTCATTAACTAAAAATGTCTTTGGCCATACTTCTTTACAATTCGTCATATGCATGGTGTATCTTTATGGACTATTAATAGTACCACATTATTTGGATATTTACATCTAAGATGCGGTTATCCTCCCTTTGAGGAGAGAAAACAACCCAGTCTTAGGTAGCAACATGGTGTAAGCTACCCACTTCAATCCCACAAGAAATGCTAGAAGATGGCTTTGGGTTTTTCATGACACCTTGAAGAGAATGATCGGGACTTCAGCTTCTAGAAAAGAAGAGTATGCAATGGCTTAGATCCATATGGCACCATAAAGAGATTGTTTTGGGCCTTAAGAATAGTGCACTAGATATCCCATTTTGGGAAAAGTTTTATGTACACTGTAGGTCCTCGATCAGACTAAATATTATACCATGTCAATGCTTGGTACAAGTCGGTATGGGCCAACCACTCATTCTAGTTTGGATCCATCCAAACCCTTTTTATATTTACCTTGAAAATGAATCAACTTATATTTGAAGATGTATAATGAATTGTAAATGAAAATTTGATTAGTTAAAAACTTCTGGATGTGTTAAAATTAGCACATGGTTCATTAATTACATATGAAGATGCAGTCTAATACCTTATCATATTGGCTATTGTTAGGTTCATGTTAGGCTAATTAACAGTTTGTCAATATTATATGTGCTTGCAAATAATTGTGAGTGGTTTTATTTTTTTAAGAAGCAATGACATGCAATCGTATTTTTTTGAGTTGGTCTAAGATAGTCTGTGTTGAAGTTACATGTTGGAATGAGTTAAAGGTAAATTCACTTGGAGGATTATTAGATAAAGAAAGCTTGTGCATTTTATTCATATCATATAATTTGTCAGGCCATTAATGAATACTTTCCTATTTTCACCTATATGGTATCACCATCATTATACTTTATGCAGACAGAGTCGATTGATTTGGCAAATAAGCATGAAAAGGAAGATCGGCTTTTGGAAATCTTTGCTAGGAGCAATGACAGGAAATTGAAGTCTTCTATTGATTCAGATGGCCTTCCTTATGTTGGACAGGTGATCCTTTCCAACAATTAAGTTACATTTTTCAACAAATTACCATTGTAAATGTTTTAAATGGAAGTAATATTTTCTTTTTTGCAGACCATACATCCAAGTGAGCCATTGTATAGCACTTATAATACCTTAACGAGTATTACCAAACCTACTTTGCTGAAGGGTTCAGAAGATGTGATCATTGACTATGTTGCTGTTGATGGTACTGGCTCAAAAAATTACTTGCAAAAGGTAGATGTACAATTTTTAGGCCTAGCTTGGATACTGTTAAGGAGTATCTGTAAAACTTTAAACAGAAAAGAGACTTCAATAACATGCAAATGGTTTATGCTAAATGCCTCGATCAGTTATGTTCATCTTCCATAACTTCTGTCTGTGGTAATCATAATTAATGAAACAAACATTTATTCTTAAATTTTTGAACAGAAAATAGTGTCCAAAATATATTGTGAATGTTCATATGAAGTGATTATGGTATATGTTTTCATGAGTTTCTTTATGTTTCATATGATGCCTTAAAACATCAGGAATTGATTTTCTGATGAGAAAATCAATTCTTAGGCATTTAAGCACATGCTTCTTTTGTGAATTTGCTTATAAATTATTAATGTCAGGGTTGACAAGAGGTGATAAAAGCAGAGCTAGATCTGATTCTTTTTAGGCTAGAAAAGGATTAGTGATTATATGAATATCTAGGCTTAGATCAGGTGAGAAAAGGAGAATGGCTTCAGTAACCATATGTAACTTGTTATCAGTTATCATAAGCACTTAAAACAGACCTTATCACTATATCAGTAGGAAGTCGAAATGATACAGACAAAGAATTTAAATTGGGATGTCATTAACTAAAATAAACCATGTATCAATGTTCCTCTCTTTCAGACACACAGCAAGAGAGTTTGATTGCTTTATTGTCAATAACAATATCTGTTTCAAAATGAAATATACATGTCTATGAGAATTTTGCTTAAGTAGGCAGACCATGAAGAATAATCAAGGTATATTAAAGCAGATTTTCCCTTGGTTTATTTTCCTAAAAAGGAGACTCTTCTCCTGTAAGTATCTTTCTTGTCTAAAAGCTATCCTGGGTTGTGATTAGTATCTCCTCTATGACTCTTGTAATTAGCAGTATATAATAATAAATGTGAAAGATATTCACTTATAACAACATCAACTGTTATGATGGCTACATTTCATATCCTTCATGACTCTTGTAATTAGCACTATTTATAATTCACTTATATAATAATAAATGTGAAAGATATTCACTTATGACAACATCAGATATTTCTGCATTTCAATAGTCAAAAGATCACTGTGTTCATTATATTACTCACCAATCTGTTTCTAAGTCGAAACAATGAGAAATATTAGCTGTAAAATTGGCAGATGAATAAACAAACAAAAATAATAGAAACAAATTAAAATAAAACAAACCTATATTGATATCCTGTTGCTCCATTAGATACAAACTGTCACTTTTGTTATTGGTTCTGGGCACAATGTAATGCTTCTTTCTGCTTTCATGAAATATGAATGATTACAGTTTCCAAGGTATTTGACTGCATGCCATTAGTATATTTTGGACATCGAAATCACTGCTCTTACACATCAAATGGTGAGCAACAGCAGCTTAGAGTGCAGTATAATTATTTGTTTTCCAGGTTAACATTCGTACCCGGCGCACCAGATATCCTATTATTGGTGACAAGTTTAGCAGCCGACATGGGCAAAAAGGTGTCTGCTCTCAGATGTGGCCTGATGTTGACATGCCATTTTCTGCGGTTACCGGGATGCGACCGGATCTAATCATTAATCCTCATGCATTTCCTTCACGAATGACTATTGGAATGCTTTTGGAATCTATTGCAGCCAAGGTATTGTCATTTTGATCATTGCTTATTCTTGTACTTGATTGCAGTGGAATGACTTTTTAATCTCTTTCAATATGACATGATGCCCCACCTGTATGATAGTTCTACCATTTTAGTTCATTAGATGTTGTGCGAGTTTAACCCTTTGGATAATGAAAATATCTATTTAGTCCATCATAATGTAACAATTGTTAAATTTATAATACTGTTAATGCATTTTCACAATGCACTATATTGTTAACTTGAAGTGAGATGTACAACAACAGTACATTGAAGTTGTATACTGTTTTTCATGGGACAGCATGGGATTAGATGGACTGTATATTTCTGTAGTAGACCTATATATTTTGGCATTAGTATTGGACATGTCTTTTTGGTCTGTATTTATTACTTTTGTATAGTTTAAGAGTTCATATTGCATCCACTACATTCATTTTGGTGGACTACATGTTTTCATTTTTTTATCCTCTCAGGAAAGTTTCAAAGTCAAGCTTTTAAGAAACTATGCTTTCCATCTTCATCATGATGGATGATGTAAATTTTAATTGCTATTTTGCATGGTTAGCTTTTCCACTGTGTTTTATCCTATCCTTGGTGTTGCTGCATTTTCTTTCTGTGGGTAACTTTGCAGGGAGGAAGTCTGCATGGAAAATTTGTTGATGCAACCCCTTTTTCTAGATCAGTCTGTAATGCAGATGAGGATAAACCATCCAAATCAAGCTCTGTGGTTGATGAATTAGGTCCAATGCTGACTTCTTATGGTTTTAACTATCATGGAGTAGAGGTCCTGTACAGTGGAGTTTATGGTACAGAGTTGACTTGTGAGATCTTTATTGGGCCTGTTTATTACCAACGACTTCGACACATGGTCTCCGATAAATTTCAGGTGACCTATCCTCTGTTATCTGTAAACCTATCAATAATTGTCATTTGATGATTTTGTGCATGATATAATTGCTATCTGGTTCTTACTGTCGATAAATATTGGTAGGCTAATTATGTTCCTTGTGTAATTTTATTCTTGCTGCTACCTGGAAATCAGCAAACTTGATGACAACTACATATGTTACATGAGGCATGTCAATATTTCCACTGTTGCGCTGTCGTTTGGGTTGCTGAATAAATGATTGTTAATGTTATCATACTAGTTTACCTTTTGATTCAGGTATACTCTGATAGACCATGTATCATTTTTGAGAAGCATAATATCGCTTGCTTACTATTTTTGTGGTGGGAAGGGGACAATAAAAGGTTGAACATTCAGTCCAATGCCGATTGGTGGCTGGTACATATTGACATACCAACACTTCTGTATACCCAAACCAGACAGGAAGAGAGGAGAGAAGGATTAACGGAGGAGGACAAGGAAGAGGAGGTGCAGGAAGATGATGACGCATAGTGGTATGAGGGGAGTTGTGACACAGATAAGGAGGCGGTGCAATATGGGCATGGCGGAGGAGATAGCAGTGATGCTGTATGGAGGTGGTGAATGAGGGCGAGAGAAAGAGAGAGTAAATGAGAGAGAAAGAATGAGAAAAACATAAAAGAGAGCTATAACAGAGCTGTCGAAAGCAAAAAGAATCGTACCAGTACCAGGCCATTCATACTGGACCAAACCATGCAATATCACTCAATTTGCATCTCAGTTTACTGTTGGACGAATGAATTTTGACCTGGACCAAATGCTGAGTGATATGCCTCGGACAAACTGCAGTCACCATGAAATCACCCTATTCGGGTTATTCTATTTGAATGATTTTGGTGGTTGACTGTGCTACATTAAGTTGGGTGTTTGGCACTAGGGGGAGTGGATTTCCTTCTTTAGAGAGTACTAGCTTCATTTTATCATGAGAAATTCTGAAAAGCATAAAAAGCAAGCTAGAATATTCTAATCCACTCTTTTGGTTCTAATAAATGTGGAATTGTGGATTGTAAAACTTCTAGAAAAGCAATGTAAATCTTGTCCTGACCCACCGCTCTGAGCTAAACCAACCCGATCCACTGACTATGTGGGTTGGGCATTGGCCAAGAATTCTTGACCTGTTAGTGTCTGAGGCTGGGTTAAGACTAGTCCTATATGATATTTACTAACACATCTAAAACTTGACCTGATCATTCCTCGGCATAGTGGAATTTGTTAATTATATGCATTACGGAAGTATAGTTCTCAAACAGTGATTGCTCGGGCGCTCGCCTA